CAAAATCTCATACGTATATGATTATTGAACCGTGTTACGGTTATTTCTGTGTATGGTCGTTGGATTTACCGTCTCTCTCTGGCAACTGCCTATGCTACGACGCGGAGCCGATCCTTTTCCCATTAAGTTCTTTGCTACCAGAGGTCACGTGTTTCCCCTTCCCTCCTGTCCCGACACAAGCTGAAGCTTCCTACGTTTACAGACAAGATTGTCTGTCGCTTTTTCCTCTTCGGCTTCGACCGAGAAGGTCGGTTTTGATTACGCATGTTGCGTAGAAATTCTGTTTCGGCACATTATGTATTACTGGAAGAGAGAGAGAGAGAGAGCCCTTTCGAGCTAGTATGAGCTGGCTGGCTCGGGAGTTTATTTATTTTTCCTGGTTTGTAATATAATTTATCAACTAAGTACTTACTGAGTAAGTTGGGCGATCTGTATTGGGACTGCCCTGTATTAGTGAAAGTGCCACGGAGTTACGTGAGTTACGATTGGTTAATGAGTGCCGCAATGCGGCGGGGGCACTTTGCTAGGATTGACTGCTTTGTTTCTTTCAGCTCTGTTTTAAGTATTATTCTGAAATCGGGTGTAGTCAGAACATAATGATTGATTTTCATCTTTTGCAATCAGATTATTGCGACAGTTTAAACCCTGTACATTCAAGGCCATTGATCAGCTCATGTCGGTGAACCTAAGAGGTCGCAACCGTCACTTTAACTGCGTGCCCATTCTGATTCTTTCTTGACTTGTGTTTATTTGACGTTTTTCCTGCCCTTCAGGCGAAGCTGTGGTATTTTCCTTTGTGATACTTGTACAATTTATATTTCTATACTTATGTTACAATATACTTTATGTTATTGAAAAACCAGCTGGATTGTTCTGCTTTCTGTGTTCTCTGCTTGATTACTTGTACTGCCTAACGCCTATGCCAGCTAACCCTCTTGGTTCCTCCCTTGAGATCCCCTTCCACATTGGGGAGGCATTGGAACACCACGCGACAAACAGTCGATTTGAGCTCCGGCCGTCTTCGACGAGGTGGGATGGCTCATTATATAATATAATTATGCAGACAACAAGCAAAAGTCATACAAAATCATGTCAGTGAAAATGTTTGCAATATAGGTCAAGGCGAAGCCCGACTAGAAAGTATAAGAGGCTGAAACCTGGCAGCGGTCAATGCATACGACCTTTCAAGTGATTAGACTGCCGTGATAGCGATTACTACTAGAAATAGGGCATAATCTGCTGTACTGGGCCTGGAGTGATAGGAGCCTTGTATATATTGTACGTTGGAGCAGATATTAGGCATAACCTTATAAATAAGTGTACATACTGACAATAGACTTAATATTACCGACTACGACTGACAAGTGACAGACCCGACCTCTCTTCAGAGAAGGCACCGCACATGGACAGAACAGTAACTTTCGTATATAAAGAAACATATGGTCATGAGCCGCAGCTGGGGCTCCACACCAAGACCAACAGACTGACTGACCGTCAGTTGCAAAATAACTTTCAGTTGTCTTTGACACCAACACCAGTCCTGGTGTGAATACAGATTGCAACCATGGCATAACAACGGCGAATATACAGTCGTTGCTATGTAAGGTCTACATCAATATGCGACTATTGGAAGTAGTCACAGTGGATCGCGTGCTAGCAAACTGCAAGCTAGAAACTACTAGCTGCCTAGCAACGGCTGAGTAAACAGCCGATGCTAGGCAACTTCTTCAATAATACGGACAGTGACATGTTTCCTATAGGTCCGGCTCTAGGTTATATAACAATGAGTGGGCTGACTCATCGTCAGTCTCAATATGTCTTGAACTCGGATGTTGACAGTTCTACAGTTCTAGTTCGGTGTTGCGTTTCAATACAACGTTCAAGGGGGTTACAGAGTTCACTATTTTTCTTCTTCAATTCTTTAAATTCATGTACATCTGTGTGTACTGTACAGCTATATTAATTATTATAAAACAGTTCAACAAGTGATTGTCCCTTCATACATAGACATCCCACATTGTTTTAGTTTGGGTCAGCAGGACAGCAGCTCACTAATAGGTATGTTCATTTCTTGTGATATAAGTTTTACCATTATCTACAAATCCAAGACTGACTTAGATGCATGATATTAAGTCCTCATCTTAAATATTTCTCATATTGTTTATTAAGTATAGTTTTATCTTTTTGTGTGTTCAGTTGGACAAAATAATGTATTAAATTTTCTGACAATTGATACTGAGTGTGATAGTCCAACCACACGCATAATCTAGCACGTACCTTCCAGCTCTCCAGTAGGAATACAGCATTTGTTTGTTAGAATATGATTTTGTATGGAAATTATTTTCATAGATTGCATCCTGTTGTGGATCAAAGACAATATATAATATGTAGGAACTATGCTACCCTTGCACCGATAAGGATCCGTATCGGTATTTCAATAGCTATACGAATACCTGCCTGATGATGGTCATGTATGACCGAAACATGTTGCAGTAATAAAGATATAATGTAATAACTGAAATATTTGTGTGTTGACGGTAGCATAGTTCCTACATACATATTATATATTGTATGGAAATTAATCTATTCAAGCTGAATATTATATTTGTCTTCAAAACGCGATTTCGGTAATTTTCAGGGGGGATAATGACCGCTTCTTTGCACTTTCCACACCCGTATATGTGGGATCCACCCACATCGAATGAAGTGCTAGCCAATCGCAGGCTAAGAACAATCCGCTGTTAAGCAGCGGGTGGGCAAACAGCTTTTGCTAGGTAGAGCCTACAATACGTGACAATAGGCGTCCGTCGTTAGGCAAGGGACCTTTTTTTTTATAAGTCCGACCCGAGGTTATATAAAAGGAAGACTCGTGTGGAGCCGGTGTCGGATACTTCCACTGTTCCCGGGAGGCGACGAAAAAGGAAGTCTCAATTCCGAGACAGTAAAGTACAGTCGCGAGTCGCAAGGGACTCGGACCCGAGAAAAATTGTGGTGGCAAGTTCCAGCAGCATATACAGAAGACAGACCCTTTCTCTTGTCAGAGAGGGCGCCCCACAAAATCAAGACCGTAACTGCCAAACAGTAATACATATCTGGTCGTGATCCCCACGTGTGACTTGACACCAAGACTTATTGACACCGTTAGTCACAGTGTGACTTTAACTTTGACAGAGACTGCCGTTGTAGCGGAAGCTATTAGCAATAAGGCATTATCTATTGTGCTGAGTCTGTACTAACAGAGGTCATGTATATATTTTATATACATTTATTAACATGTAAAATGTAAATATCCTTTACATTATGACAAATGACTTACTACTGCAGACAATGACTGTGACAAAGAGAGACAAGTCCTCGCGTCAGAGAGGGCGCCCCATAATAACAAGACCTAAGTGTCAAACAGTAATAAATATGTGGTCTTAACCCCAGATGGGGCTCAACACCAAGACTGACTGACTGACCGGCCGTCAGTCGGAGTGCGACTTTTTGACTTAGAAAGACACTTTAACCGCGTTGAGTCGGGGTCAAGTACCTCCACCATAACCCTGCGAGTCGTAGGAGGCGCCGAAAAGGGAAGTCTCAAAACTGAGACAGTAAAATATGGTCGCGAGTTCCAAGGGACTCGGACACGAGACAGATTGCAATGGCAAGGACCAATAGCATATACAAAAGACAGACCCGTCCTCTCGTTAGAGATGGCGCCCCACACAAACAAGACCGTAACTGTCAAACAGTAATAAATATGTATGAGGCTCGAGACCAAGACCGACTGACTGACTGACCGTCAGTCGCAATGTGACTTTGACTTGAGGAAGACACCTGTATAGGGTACATCCGACAGACCGCAAAGAGGGTTATGTTCTCAGAGAGCTGTAGCGAGGTCTCAGTGCTACTGAGAACAGATAAAAAACAAATGAAAATAAAACTCAGACAACCTACTTTTCTCATAGACTTAGGCGCCCTGAGGCTCATCTTACATTGAACGGACAGAATATCCCCTTTGTCAATCATGTAAAATACCTGGGTGTAATCTTCAATAAGAAGGTTACATGGAGACTTCACATAGAAATGACTGAAGCCAAGGCTTTCGGAACATTTCTTAGACCCTACGCCAATAATAAACCAACCCTCCATAAGGCAATGATTAGATCAGCAATGACTTATGCTTGCCATGGCTGGGATATAGCGCCTACAAAACAGGGTTCTCGGCACCACTGGAAATTTTCCAAGTTGCACACCGGTGCTCTCGACCTTCGGTATGGATACAATTATGTGACAAAACTGTGCAGGTGACGAGCAGAAGTCATACAAAATCATAGTAACGAACATATTCGCGATATAGGACAAGGTGAAGCCAGACATAGAAAATATAAGTGGCTTAAACATGGTGGTGGTCAAGCTTACGACCGTTCAAATGACTAAGCTGCCGTTGTAGCATAAGAGACGTAAGTTAGGCATGATGTGCTTTGTGAAGCCTATACTAACAGAGAACTTGTGTGCAGTGCAAAAGGAAGAATTTTCAGTAACATGTTATATGTGCAAAATATACACTTGACGAAAAGCCAAGCATATTCATAAGAGACAAACTCATCTTCTCGTCAGAGAGGATGTTGCACAAGGACTATTATCGCAAGAGTTCTGTTGGGAGTTCTGAGTTTTATTTATAGAAACTTAATACGTTGTTGTCACTTCAAGCATCGACAATCCCACAACATAAATAAAATTTTCTGAAACATGCGTGTTACGCTTGGATGATATTAGGCCAAATCATTCATTGTAGCTGGGGTTGTTCACAAAAGTGACTAAAATCGTATGTTCGGAAGTACGGTCCATGATACCTCTGGATTTGCTGCAACAATTTCGCATATCACGCATGCCAGACATTGATCATAATAACAGCTATCGCTTCCAGACGAGCCTCACATACCACGGGTCATTCTCATACTGTCACAGAGAACATCGGTTCGTTGTATAACTAGGTTATGCTAAATTATCGACGTTATCGATAGTCGCATTTTATCTAATTGGAAACCCGGAAAAGAATGACGTGGATCGTTGCCGTAAAAGATTAATATTGTTGGTTAGAAGTGTTGCAAGACGAATGTACCTGAATAATGAAATTTATAATTAGCGTACGTGTGTAAGTTTGTGTTTTGTACGTTGTATTTAGCGGTTTTTGTTCGTGGTTTTATAATTAAGCATTTAAGCAAAAAGTAAGTAACCTGCATCAGTATTTTCTATTCTATTTAAGTCCAGTCTCGTGAATTTGTATTCTATTTATTCACTTAAAGGTTTTGAAGTTCTGCTTTGCACACGTTTTGTAAGTAATAGTTCTTCATTTTCCTTTCTTTCCAAGGATGACAACATACGAAGAATTCATCCAGCAGAATGAAGACCGTGATGGAGTACGTTTTACGTGGAATGTTTGGCCATCAAGTCGAATAGATGCGACGCGTTTAGTTGTACCACTTGGTTGTCTGTATCAACCATTGAAGGAAAGACCGGGTCAGTTATGTTCGGTATAATTAGATTTATTTAAAGAAATGCTGGTCTTAAATGACTTTTCCAGTCTAGAAAACCGAAATTAACGACCGTGGGAATTCGTTGCGCTGACCACGCAACACCCTTTATCCGCTAAAGTTGGCACTAACTTCGCCGACAAGCGGCGGTCGCTTGGTCGGTATAGTTCGTGTGCGGACTAAAACCACGGAGTTTGTGTGTTTTTTTTTTAATTATTTTTGAGTCCATATAGTCAGGAGGAAATGACTGCCCAGCACTAGGTAGATGTTCTTGTTCACATGACTATTGCGCTATACCGAAACCTAACCTTGGTATTGGGAGGTGGTGCTTGTTTGGTGACATATTGTTTTGAGAAAGTTATAGTGTCAGTTAGGCCCCCATACACACACAGTTTGGCCTTCTGATCGACCTTACAGGCAAAACGCGCAGATAAAGTGGCAGGCTTCTTGCCACAATCACAGTCTTCCAGCCTATAATGTTGAGTCACCACGTCACGTGCTACGGTCCTGCAGGCAGAACTGATGGACTGACAGGTTTCCCACAGGCCAACAGTCCAAACGACTGGCCGGCCGGCCGCACCACACACGTCAGTTTTGCCGTCTTCAACTGTGCAGGCCGAATTGGAGGCCAGACTGTGTGTGTATGGGGGCCCTTATTCTAGAAGGTAGAACAGTTCTCTTTCCACAAGCAGCTGCTCTTATGCTGTTGGCCCATAAAGCATCAAGATGAGATGGAAATATCTGATCATGCCTTGGAAATGCCCCCGTGTATCTTATGGACCAGTTCATGAAGTCCATACTCCATAAAACTCGTTATTTTTAGCTAAAAGTCTATAGGAATGATGGTAATCACTGTATGTTTAATGTTTTCCTGGCCTTGTTTGTTACATCAACAGCCAAGTTCAAAGTAGTATAGTGCAGTATAATTCATTAGTGTAATGTATCTTATATTTATATTTCTTCATACTCCCACAAATACATGATCACCTAAGTTTGTCCGTATGTTCACGATATCTTTCTCTGTTTGAATCTGTCAAGTAGTCCGAGCACATATTCCTCTTACCAAGAACACCTAGAAACTGAATGAATTGGTAGAAAGTATAAGTAGTTCAAATCAGAAGATTGTCATCATAATCTTCATGAATTAGGCCTTATGTGGCCTGTTTCATCCTCTTGAAGAGTATGCTGGTCCCTCCATGTTGACTGTGGTCATCCTGTATTTCTTCTTCTTTTAGGGTTGTATGAGGGTTGGAACTTTAATAGTGGCAACTATTTATTTACAACTGATACAAAATAGATGTGCATGTTTCAAAGTTTTACTGTCCTTCAGTGTAGTCACCAGCATTGTGTACAACCTGTTGCCAGCGATGTGGAAGTCGTAGGATACCTTTAGCACCTCCTGTTATGTTGATAGTTCAAATGGAGTGGTCTACTGTCTGAAGAATCTCTGGAACAGTTCTGAAGCGAATGCCATGAAATGGGTCATTCATCTTAGGAATCAAGTCGAAGTCACAAGGGCATAAGTCCGGGGAGTATGGTGGATGGTACAGCACTTTCCAGCCCCATAGATTGAACAGATCAGCCACCACTTGCCATTTCTGCATTTCCGTCAAATCATGCAGAACCCATCGTAATGCAATTTTTCTCATGCCCAGGCGTTCCTTCAGAATGTGAAGCACAGTCGTATGTGCTAATCCTGTCTCTCGGTCCTGCTCATGAATCGTATGGCGTTGATCACTCTCCAGTAACGCGGAAAGAGCACACACTTCTTCTTCACTGACACTAGGACGACCTGGCCGACGCATATCTGCCACATTTTGGCATCCCTTGTTGAAGGCTTTTACCCACCTTGCCACTGTTCTGTAAGGCAATGCAGATTCCCGCAAGCCTCTTGAGGACCTTGATGACACTTTCATGCTGTATGGCCTCTGGCACATTCAGTGTTTATCCAACTCTGTTGTTCCTGTTTCAAAAACATCATGACAACACAACATTAGACCGCCAGCTAACACGAGGCTCTGTTCTTTTCGTCACTGCGCATGCGCGTGATGTGGGAAGTGAGAGTCCATTTGCTCTGAGGTAAGGTAGGTGTGTAACTAATATGTGGTGTAAGTGACATTTGGTTCTGTTGCATGGCGTCTCTACAGCAGTGTTGCCACTATTGAAGTTCCAGCCCTTGGATGTTAGAATATTTATCAGAATCCACATGTGTTCCATTCATTGCATGTGATACTTCCATTTTGATGTGGATATGAGAAGTTTATTCTTTAGATTAAAGATACAGAGGCATGCAGTAATGTAGTCTTTTGAGGCACAATGCTACAAGCTGGAAGGTCATGGGTTTGAGTCCCGATGAGGTGGATTTTTTTCAGTATACCTAATCTTTCAGTCTGCACCGTGGTTCTGGGGTCGTCTCAGCCTCTAACAGAAATGAGTACCAGGAATCTTCCTGGGTGGTAAAGGGCAGCTGGTGTGTAAGGCTGACAACCTTACCGCCTTCGGTGAGCTGATTGTGTAGAGAAAATGTGGGAACCTTGACATCTCACAACCCTGTGGGCCTTCATGGCCTGTTACAACCATAGATTCACCTTTATTTACCTTTTACCTTAGATTAAAGATATTCAGCTCTGCCATAATTTTAGTATTTCCTAGTTGGTGCTTCCTTGTGTAGCCTGCTACACTCCACAAGAATTTCATATTTACAGTTTAAGTTTTTCTCCCCCACCCACTTTTTTTTTGTATTCCAAATTTTGGATCCATAGGTATTACCATAGCTGTGTCCTATAAAGTTATATAAGTTATATATATATAAAGTTATATATAAGTTATCAAATTCAGTAACTTCTGCTCACAGAAAAGAAATCTGTTATTACCTTTGTGCTGAGATTTGGTTGAATATATGCATTGCTTAAATGAAAACGAAGATCTTTTTGTAGAGAAGCCTCTTTAAAAGCATTAAAAATATCTACTGTTAAATTGCTAATAATGCTGGAAACTGCATGCGAGTCAGTACTCCAACTACCAGGAAAGCAGTACTGTGCCTTAGATTCTCAAAGTGAATTGATATGCTACTTAATTGCAGATTTGCCTCCCATTCAGTATGACCCGGTCCCCTGCACTCGGAATACGTGTAGGGCAATTCTCAATCCTTTGTGCCAGGTAGACTATCGTGCCAAGCTCTGGGTCTGCAACTTTTGCTTACAAAGGAATCCTGTGAGTATATGTATATCATTGTATGTTCCTTCTACTTGTAGTAATATAATGTATTCCTTTTATGATGCTCAGTTGTTTATGTAATTTATTGTTCATATGGCCATACAATTGTACCTGGATCAGAAAGTTAGAGTGTGACTGGACAGAGGGGAGACAGGAAGTGTGCAGATTGGAAGAGGAGTTCGACAAGGATGCTGTTTATCACCAGTTCTGTTCAACTTGTACAGCAAATGCCTTGCCAAGGAAGCTGTGGATGGGCTCGGAGACTTCAAAGTAGGAGGGCAAATTATTCAAACTGTTAAATATGCAGATGACCTTGTGTTAATGGCTAAAGAAGAAACTGTGCTACAGGGCATGATTGATAGACTAATTGAAATCGGAAGGTGCTATGGCATGGAAATGAATGTGGAAAAACAAAAGTAATGAAAATTTCGAGACAACCAACCCCAGTCACAATAAAGATAGACCAAAAACAACTGGAGAATGTGAAATGTTTTAAATATTNAGAAGGATGGAGATCAGTTAGACCGATTATGTGAGAAATGAAGAAGTGTTAATTAGAGTCAGTGAGCAGAGGAATATCCTACACAAAATAAGAAAACGGAAGGCTAATTGGATTGGTCATGTTTTACGCAGAAACTGCCTTCTAAAAGAAGTTATGGAAGGAAAGATAGATGGGTGGATAGAAGTGACAAGAAGACGTAAGAAGATGCTGGATGACCTTGGGGACAGAAGAGGATAGTGTCATTTGAAGGAGAAAGCTCTAGATCGCATTAAGTGGAGGAATTGTTTTGAAAGAGACTGTGGACCTGTCGTCTTAACAGATTACTGATGATGATGATGATGATGGCCATACACAATAAGGAAGGAAAGTGGCCCTAAAACACTTTGTTGTATGTAGAAGCTTGCATATCTCAAAATATCAATATAATTGAGTTACAGGTATGAATGAAGTAAGAAAAAAATTCTGCAACAGCGCAATGTTTACCATATTATTTTCAAATTCAGTGTTTTCCCTTTATTTTTAGGGTAATTTTGAAGATTGACTTGATTTGTTGCCATTTCAAGTAACATATTCTGTCACCTTTTTTTTCTGAGAATGACATGCAAATAGAAGTATTTATTTGGTAAGGATTTTGGTTATTTGAAGTGTTATTTCATTTCAGTTTCCTCCACAATATGTTGCAATATCAGAACAACATCAACCAGCTGAGCTGATGCCAATGCTTTCTACTATTGAATATATCATCACTGTGAGTAATGTGACATCCTTTTTTTTCCTTCATTCTTTAAGTTGGCTTAATGTGTAATATTGATACAATATTTGTTTGGGCTGACTCAGAGAAAATGTTTATGAACTAACTAGATAGCTTTTACTTAGAAGAAGACACATAAAAAGAATTTCATGAGGAAAATCGCTGATTATGAAATTGTTTACACTTGATATTTGTAACTATCAAAATGTTGGAGACTGCTAACTTATTGAGGGCAAGATCCTACGTCCTAGCAGCTGTTCACTAATATTTAGGAGGAGCACATTAACATGTTTAACCTTTAATGTACAGACTTTTAAATTGCTGGCAGTCCTCTGCAGCCAAAATTTAAATGGCCCTAAGTCTTTAACATTGCAGAGTTTCAGAAGAAACTACATATTTTCCATTCTATGCAACATAGAAATACAAACTAAAAACAACCTGAAAGACAATAAAGTTTTCTACATATACACAAAAGAGAAATTTTTACAAACGAAAATTAACTGTGATTATTTTGTCATGGAATGCAAAATATAATTTTTATTATGTTATAAAATTCCAGAAGACTTACCTGTAGTTTTTTTTTCAACTTTGAGACTTGGTGATATTGTAAATATAATCACACTATATACAGTAATATTTTGTTCAGACTGTACGCGAGTTTGAACTGCGTCACTTCACAGTGTATGATACCTCACACCCTGTCACGTGTGCCACTTCTCAAAGCAGTCCGCGACACACAGCACAGCATTACACTTTTTGCAATAGAAAATGGTGCTCCTGCTTTTCTTAATTAGCGAACACACATGACAAATTCTTTGTTTCCCTTTGGTTGGCCAGTGTTGTGAATGTTTCACTTCCAGTTGACTCAGTTGGGCCCCAGATAACCTTGGCCTCCCCCAAGAAATGCCACTGACCCTGATATTCGCCTTGTGCGATTGAAGAATCATCTTGGGGGGAGGGGGGTTTCCAGCAAAATTGAATAAATTATGTTGATTGACAAAGTGACACTCTCACCTATTAGTAATACTTGCAAAATAGTGATGCAAAATAATTATAATACTAGTCAAAAAGAGTCCCAGTCCAACAGTGATACTGAAAGTCACAGTGACAAAGATGCCTTTTAGTCATAAAGTAATATGGCTCAATGGGTTTATACCTCTTTTGAGACACAAAATAAAAATGATATATAAAGAAACGTTTGACAGTCTGAAACTGACTTTCTAACTGATAATTTGCTATTGAAAACCAATCCTTGAAAATGTCACACTTCCTTGAAAGCTCTTGAAGCACTAATTTGTGAGCATAGATGAATATTTACTCCTCACTTCTTAAAACAAAGGTGGGCTCTATTTGACTGAACAGGTCATAAACAGTCATATCTAAACTTAAATAGTATCGAAACCCGTACTGTGATAAACGATTTCATCGTTCAGAGCTAAGAATGAACCACTGACATGACCTTACATGGGTTTGTTTTGGTTTCAAACTGAAGATCAAACTGTCAGCACTCCCAAAATGAGNTTTTTTTTTTTTTTTTTTTGCAGCGTGCACAGTGTTTACCACCCGTTTTCCTCTTAGTTGTCGACACATGTATTGATGATGAGGAATTAGGTGCATTGAAAGATTCTCTTCAAATGTCCCTCAGTCTGCTTCCTCCTAATGCTCTGATTGGACTTATCACATTTGGAAAAATGGTACAGGTGCATGAGTTGGGTTGCGAAGGATGTTCAAAAAGCTATGTTTTTAGGGGGACTAAAAATTTAACAGCAAAACAGATTCAAGATATGCTAGGAATTGGGAAATTCAGTGCACCCCAGCAACAGCAGCCTCGAGGTCCTGGAGGACAACCATTACCACCAGCTAACAGGTATATTTACATTTCATACTTTACAGTGTGGTTCATAAATGGAGGAACACCTACTGTATGCTGTCTGTGAGCCTGTGTGATGTAGAAAATGCATTGTTTAAAATGGTGATAGTGAAATCTCTAATTAGAGACATTGATTCCTCAGCCTACGTACGTCTTCTGTTGTAGTGGCACAGCACTAAATACAGTGAAATTCCAGTTTAGTGTTCCCACATTTAGTGAAATCATGCATATATATTTTTGGACTCAACCAAAGCCCAATATTAAAAAATATATTATTATCTCATATTCAGTGAATAACATACATTTAGTGTAAGTTATTGTCAACATTCTTGAATGTTTGCAGGTCATACCCCTTAAATTGTCACCCTTGGGACCAGACCAGAGCTGGCCCAGAGAATTTTCCAAACCATGAGTGGTCAATGTATTACCAAAACATCTAAATAAGCCATTGTAATATTCACATATGGGTACAAGGAAATAAACAGAGGAAGCATTAAAGAATGACGTATGACAAGAAATACAGGGTAGTTTAAGTACAAGTATGTTACTGTAATATAGATACAGCTAATTGCATAGTGTACACTGATATTCTAGCTGTGTGCACCCCATGCCACAACTGATTCTAGGCAACTAGCACCAGTGGCATTAAGTGGCCATGTTGCAAACCCACAATACTATGGAATGGCTATTTTGAAACTTTGATCTGTGCCTTGGTTTAGTATAATCATGGTTCCTTAGCCAGGAATTGTAATCACACAAATATAATCTTAGGTGGATGACATCACATACTGAACGTGACCCAAAGCCCTGCACCTTGTGGCATTACAGTTGCTTTAATGCTTGACAGAGGTTCTTCAAACCTTAATTTCATGCCATTGATTTAGAAATTAATTTGATATTATCAATTAAGTAATTATAGTAGCATTTTTAACTGTGTATGTAGAGAAATTATTTTTAATAATTGTATGCAGTAGTAAGTGCTTAAAGAAACTGAACAGTTCTTGGCATATTTTTGCAGCTCCATTTTAGTTTAGCTAAAGCCATTGATCTGGAGATTTCATCAGATAGGGATTTTACTATAGCAACTAAATACACTACTCATATTTGAGAGTAAGAATATTAAACAACACTTGTTTCATTATCCCTAGTGCATTGCTTATTCATGTTAAACAATATGAGATAAGAAGAATCTTTTATGCCAATATGTTAACATAGGTTATCACAATACCTAACAGTCTTCCTGACTCACAGATATCTTGTGCCAATGTACCTATACCTTTTTTTCAACCATATAGTAGACATAACTTTGGAGCTAGTTGCATAGTGAGGGAATACCAAGAATATCATTCATGAAACTACTAGTTAGAAGTGGTCAGATGCATATTGAATGCTGATGTGATAGTTGATTGTTGCACTTATCAGTTTAATATGAAGTACCTATCTGAAACACTTACTTACTTACTCATGGAGCTGAGCCCTTCTTGAGGAGCCGCCAATTCTGCAGCTACTCAAGAATGTCCCAGCATTTTATGGAACCCGAAGGTTCATCACCGTGTTCACAAGAGCCCTTCACTGGTCCCTATCCTGGGCCAGATTTATCCAATCCATCCCATCCTATCCTATCTCTCTAAGATCCATTCTAATATTGTCCACCCACCTACACCTTGGTCTTCTCTGTGGTCTCTTTCCTTCTGGCTTTCCCACCAATATCCTATACGCATTCGTCTCCCCCATTCGTGCTACATGAGCTGCCCACCTCATCCTCCTTGACTTGATCATTCTAATTATACTTGGAGACTTGTGTTATTGTCTGAGCCAATAATTTTAGTTACTGTAACATATGTCCAAAGTTTCAGGAAAGCAATTTAGACCCCTTTTCTTGTACATCATATTCTACTGCATAAGAATTTGTACCTGCATGTTGGTTAATTGTTTTTCATTAATAGCTGAATGAGTAATTGTGTAATTTGAACTAGATAAAATGAGTCAGAATTGTAATATATTGCAAAAAATAAAGCACAGACTCACCTCCAGCTGATTAGCAGGATGATACTTTGAAATAAGTTATGGCTGTGTCCTTCCATATCCTTATCCATTGACCATTCATGGTATTCATCTCATTCAGTATTGTAAACCTCCACAGTTCAAATAGCATCATTAATTAACTCATGGACATACTTTGACAACTGCAAAATTACCACTGGTAGTTATGATTAGTGTGGCTTAGCAGTCTAAGGCCTGAACTGTCTTTGCCCACCCAAACACTGGGGTCATGGGTTTGTATCTAGCTCAAGGCAAGGATGTCAGTGTGTGTTTATTCTGTGTTTGTGTTGTTCTTTACATATGTAGAGGCATTGAAACTGGCTGATTCCCCATCCAAGGAGTCCTACCAGCCGGGTAGATTAAGAAACTAAAAAAGCGGCCAAGGTCCAACAAAAGGCTGTAGAGCCATAATAGAATAATTATGGTTAGTCTTTAGGAGGTGTGAAATATGAATGAATGAACTGTATAATTAACTGCTTATTGGATAAGAAATGTATTGTATGTATTGTATTCATACAGAAGGTACATGACATTGTTGAAGCATTTATTTTCCAAATATCTGACCACACAGGTTGCTCAAAGGTAATGCTCCAGACTTGTATGAGGGTTGGAACTTTAATAGTGGCAACTATTTATTTACAGCTGATACAAAATAGATGTTTTGAAGTTTTACTGTCCTTCAGTGTAGTCACCAGCATTGTGTACAACCCATTGCCAGCAATGTGGAAGTCATAGGATACCTTTAGCAGCACCTATTGTGTTGATAGTTCGAATGGAGCAGTCTACTGGCTGAAGAATCTCTGGAACAGTTCTAAAGCGAATAGCATGAAGTGGTTCCTTCATCTTAGGAATCAAGTCAAAGTCACAAGGGCTTAAGTCCGGGAGGATGGTGGATGGTACAGCACTTCCCAGCCCCATCGATCAAACAAATCAGCCACAGCTTGCGCTGCATGCTTCCGAGCATTGTCCTGCAAAATGAAGGGTGCGTTCTGCAGAAAGTGTCGCCGCTTCTTTCTCAAAGCTGGTCGCAGGTTGTGTCCCAAAAATGAACAGTAATACTGCGCATTAACGGTCTGCTGTTGGGGAACGGTATGTGTTAGAATAACACCATCACAGTCATACACGAGAATCACCATAATGTTCAAATTGCTGGGGTTCTGACGAACTTTTGATTTTTATGTTGACCTGTAATGACGCCATTCGTTCGATTGGCGTTTCATTTGTGGCTTGTACAATTTGGCCCATGTCTCATCCACCATAATGATACGGCCTAAGAAAGCCTCTCCTTAGCGCTCCAAGTGGTTACAAGCAGTGTCGTATCATAGCCATTTCTGCATTTCCGTCAAATCATGTGGAACCCATTGTGATGCAATTTTTCTGATGCCCAGGCATTCCTTCAGAATGTGAAGTATAATCATATGCGCTAATCCTGTCTCTTGGGCCAGTCATGAATTGTATGGCGTTGATCACTCTCCAGTAACGCGGAAAGAGCATACACTTCTTCTTCACTGACACTAGGACAACCTGGCTGACGCATATCTGCCACATTTTGGCGTCCCTTGTTGAAGGCTTTTACCCACCTTGCCACTGTTCTGTAAGGCAATGCAGATTCCCACAAGCCTCTTGAGGACCTTGATGACACTTTCGTGCTGTATGACCTCTGGCACATTCAATGTTTATCCAACTCTGTTGTTCCTGTTTCGGAAACATCATGAAAACACTACATTAGACCGCCAGCTAACACGAGGCTCTGTTCTTCTCATCACTGCACATGCACATGATGTGGGAAGGGAGAGTCCATTTGCTCTGAATTAAGGTAGGTATGTAACTAATGTGTGGTATAAGCGACATTTTTTTGGTTCCGTTGCATGGCGTCTCTACAGCAGTGTTGCCACTATTAAAGTTCCAGCCCTCGTATTTAGGAGATGCTTGATTCAGATCTCAGGGAGGACATGAGCTATCTTGACTGAGGTCCCCCCCAGTCCCTTAAGGAAAATTCTGGGATAGTATGTGTACTAGGCCATGACTGCCCCTTCCCCCCCCCCCAAAAAAAATGTTATTTGTATGCATGAATGAATGAATGTATAAGGGGTGGGCCTTCTCGACCCTTGCACCGCGACCTACAGTGATCTATTTTGCTTCCCCTTTTGATTATCCCCTCAGCAATCCTGCACTTCGAATGAAGCATAGAATTTTGTACATGGGGGCATCGAAATAGTCACTTGGTTCCATAAAGTATTGACCCAAGTGATGTTATTTGTATGCATACAGTAGGGTCTGCACATATTCACAATCCAGTTATGTTTAAAGCTGGGTTCAGACTTGTTGCGTATCCCCATATATCTCCGTTGCATATCATCCGATGCAACGCGGCAAAAAGTTTTTGCCTCCATACTTGTTGTGTATCTCCATTGCATATCAACCAATGCAATGTGACAAAATTTCTCTATCTAAGAAGGCAAGGAAGAAATGACGAGCTGAATCTCAGTTTTGAGTCAGATTTCAATCAGCAATGACTACACCCAACCTGACGGTAGCAGTTGCCATGTACATCTATCTTCACTATGCTATAAAGGAAAGAAGAAAGAAATCACGATGTTTGTGGATATCACTAATCTATGCCAGCAGGGAAGTATACAATGGTTCCCATCTTTTGGCGGACTTAAATTTTCAGTCAGTCTGTTCAGTTCCTTTCCTATCACCTCCCATGCGTCCTGCTTTTTTGTTTTATTGTAATGTTCTGTGTTTTGGGGATTCCAAGTCACGTCCCTCTTCTTATATTCACCAATTAAATATATAATGCTCTCCTAACTCCACTCCATTCAGAATATAAACAGAGAATCAAAAATACAAGAACGCACACTAGTGATGACTACACTTCAACTGTCTTTTGTGCGAAGCTGATAAGCAAAGCATGATGCAACCGCCTGCACGTCCAGACTGGCACCACTGCAACGCGTGTTGTCCCTTTGATGCGACGGGAGAAGACCGCCAAGCGAGCGAACAGCCCATTGCGTATCACCATATCAACATTTTGCAATGAAAGGATGATATGGGGTATTGTCCACACTTATACGATACAGGGATATGCAACATGTCTGAACCCGGCTTAATAGTGTTAACAATGCATCCAGCAATGAAAAATACAAGATTCTGGTGTTGTGATATTTTAAATAAACATTTTTCATGAAAATTGTGACATCTCACAACACAGAGACTACTATTAGCAGATCCATGTACCAACAGAATTACTACTGCCTGCGACAAGTGCATCCAGTGCTGTATCAGAACATTGTATTACCATAATTTTGCATAATATCAGTATGGTTTTATTTTATAGAAGGAATGTGAAGTTATAATCTTATGATTACCCTGACACTCAGTTGCAGGAAAGCTGAACTGAACTAAGATGTTGGCTGTTCGTGGTGCATTCTTATTTACATTTTAATTTTGGATGTTCTATACAAATGATGTCATAGTTGTGGTTTCAAAGTCAGAAATACATGCAAACAAACTGTATAAACAGATTTGACATGTTCTGCTTTCAGATTTCTGCAGCCAGTTAACATATGTGACATGAACCTCACTGATTTACTTGGGGAGCTGCAGCGTGACCCTTGGCCTGTAGCCCAGGGTAAACGTTCACTCCGGTCTACAGGTGTTGCTTTATCCATTGCTGTAGGTTTGCTGGAGGCAAGTAAAGCTAATTACATTCAATTAGAGTACATATGAGGCTTTTATATTACTATTTCTTGTCTTATATTTGTATACAGACAATTTTCTTCAATCTATGATTTTATTCTTTGTAGGTTTCTCTTTGCTTGGCTCCTGTTTCTGAAACCAATATTCTGATGGTAAATAATACTTGCATTATGATCTGTGAAGTTGATTTTCTACTGATATGACTTTTTTTCATAGAATGCCACAACCTTCTGGTTTATTATACATAGGTAAGTCAATAAGTAAGTTACAAATGGATATAGAATGTAAAANCTAATAAGAGTACTGATTTTAAAAGTGCTTTTATATCTCAACATAATCTCTGTGTAAATTGAGGCACTTGTCCCATTGTTTCACAAGCCCCTGAAAACCAGCAGCATAAAATTCTTTGGGCTGTTGTTGGAACCAGGCATGTTGCTCTTGCATGACAATGCGCATCCCCATACTGCCAACAAGACAACTGAGACGCTGCGAAATTTCAAGTGGGAAGTCCTCGAGCATCCTCCATATAGCCCCGACCTTGCTGTAAGCGACTTCAATTTGTTTGGCCCTCATAAACATCATCTTTCAGCTGAACGTTTTCCCGACGATGAAGCTGTAGAAAGGGAAGTCATCGCCTGGTTCCGACAGCAACCCAAAGAATTTTATGCTGCTGGTTTTCAGGGGCTTGTGAAATGATGGGACAAGTGCCTCAATTTACACAGAGATTATGTTGAGATATAAAAGCACTTTTAAAATCAGTACTCTTATTAGTTTAAGCTCTATATCCATTTGTAACTTACTTATTGACTTACCCTTGTAACAGTGACAATGGTTGATTTATTACATCTCAGTTATGTTTGATATCGTCCACTGTTAGGTGTATTTGATATACATCAGTCTTTGAGAGTCTTTAGGTGATCGGTTATCACTACATGGATAAATATTTTCTATTTCTTTTTCTTTTTAGTTTAGAGATCCGTAGGTACTGTTGATATAAACCCACATTCTTTTGAATAGTATGAGGGGCAGTCAAATGAAAATGGGTCAGAAGCCAAAACATATTAACCTTTAACGTATGGACTTTTCAATTGCTGGTAGCCCTCTGTGGCCAGAATTTAAATCACCCTAATTAATTAACATTGCAAACTTTCAGAAAAAAGTACATATTTTCCGTTCTATGCAACGTAGAAATACGAACTAAAAACAACCTGAAAGACAATAAAATTTTCTACATATACACAAAAGAGCAATTTTTGCAAACAAAAATGAACTCTGATTATTTTGTCATGAAATGCAAAGTATAATCTTTATTATGTTATAAAATTCCAGAAGACTTACCTGTAGTTTTTTTTCCAACTTTGAGACTTGGTGATATAATGTAAATATAATCACACTATATACAATAATATTTTGTTCAGACTGTATGCGAGTTTGAACTGCGTCACTTCACAGTTTATGATACCTCACACTCTGTCGCGCATGCCACTTCTCAAAGCAGTCCACGACACACAGCACATTACACTTTGCAATAGAAAATTGTACTCCTGCTTTTCTTAATTAGCGAACACACATGACAGATTCTTTGTTTCCTTTTGGTTGGCCAGTGTTGTGAATGTTTCACCTGCATTTGACTCAGTTGGGCCCCAGATAACCTTGGCCTCCCCCGAGAAATGCCACTGACCCTGATATTTGCCTTGTGCGATTGAAGAATCATCTTGGGGGAGGGGGGTTTCCAGCAAAATTGAATAAATTATGTTGATTGATGAAGGGACACTCTCACCTGTTAGTAATACTCGCAAAATAGTGATGCAAAGTAATTATAATACAAGTTGAGAAGAGTGCCAGTCTGACACTGATACTGAAAGTCACAGTGGCGAAGCTGCCTTTTACTTAGAAATTAATACTGGCTCAGTAGGTTTATACCTCTTCCAAGACACAAAATAAAAATGATATACAAAGAAATATATGACACTGACTTTTTAACTGATAAAGAAATATTAGACAGTCCAACACTGACTTCCTAACTGATAATTCGCCACTGAAAACCAACCCTTGAAAGCTCTGGAATCACTCATCTGCAAGCAGTGGTGAATATTTCCTCATCAGTTATCAAAACAGAGATGGGCTATTTTTGGTTGACCAGGTCATAAACAGGCATATCTAAACGTAAGTAGTATCGAAACCAGTACCATGATAAACGATTTCATTGTTAGAGCTAGGGAATGAACCACTGACATGACCTTACATGGGTTTGTTTTGGTTTCAAACCCAAGATCAAACTCAGCACTCCCAAAGAGAGCACGTGTCCTGCCGCACATAAATATAACATTCGGCGAACACGGGGTGCTGCTTATATATACATATATGTATATATTGTGATGTGGATGGCGCAACAGGAAGTAGGGGTCACATGAACTCTGCGGTCTCGCGAGTGGCGTCACATACCCCCACTCCTTCCATCATTACGCAACGCTCGGTAAACACCCCCTCCTCCGTGGTGACGTAACAGAAGAGCAGCTGTGTCAGGCAACCATTGCTGCGGTAACATAACAGCACTTCCCACAGTGACATAACAGGGGATACTGCAGTTAGTACACAGCAATAAACAACTCTCGACAGCGTTGCCCAGCAACGCCTGTAAACACGGCGATTACACAACAGCGAAGCAAGGCACATTTTCCGCTGTCTGGCTGAGGGTTTATAAGAGAACTGGAATGCCTATGCAGTCAGTTGAAATATAGCACCAGTTGCGGAAAGAAGAACCAAATGCATAGTTAGAAGATTTTATAGCGTGTGATAACTGAGAAGTCAGCCAGTGAAGCCTTGTTGTGTGACTTCAAGATTTTATGTGTGCTGTAGGAGTGTGTAATTCACAGAGACTTGTATAGCTCCTGCCTTATAAATATGTGAAGATTACTGAGGATAGAGTGAATAGAATAGTGCGTATGGTTTGTAAATTGTGTAAACCCGCAATAGTGTCATAACTAATTGTAGCTACGACTTGTAGGTTGTTAAATAAACCAATTAAAAATCCAAACATTATCTTCAGTAGCAAAACACCTTGCAATATATATATATATATTGTAACGGCCGGAGAACAGATGCTGCAAGAACAGCCTCCAAAGCAAAGGAACGGGGTGCACCGTTAGGCTATTCGGGACGAACATCCTTAAGGAGGAAGCAGTGTGACATGTTGTGCAACAGAGAACCCCCCCCCTCCCCAGCGGTACGCGGCGGCATCGTAGTGCTCTCGTCACTATGATAATAGGCGAGTCAACACCCCGCCCCTCTCCCCGCAGTGACATAACACGCAATGCAGCTGTGACACGGGTAACAGGCAACAGCGGTACCCATTGCGTAACAGCCGGGCCCTGCGACTATATAAGGGAACTACACAGCCGCCAAAGTTCTCAAGTCAGCAGTGAACAAGTTAAAAAGTGTCTGCCAAAGTGAGTTCTCCAATCAGCAGTGAACAAGTTAAAGTGTATCAGCGGCCGAAGACAGTTCTCCAGTCAGCAGTGAACAAGTTCTCAAGGCAGCAGCCTACAAGTTGAGGTGATAAGTGAGTAATAATTGGGAGTGTGTGATACTGTGACACTTGTATAGCTCCCGTACTGTGAATACGTGTAGACTCCTGAGGACAGAGTGAAGAGATTATTGCAAATAGAGTTATAAAGTGTGAAACCCCACAACAGTATGAAGGGATTATTGCGAATAGGGTTATAAAGTGTGAAACCCCGCAACCCTGTTATAATTAATTGTAGCCAAGACTGGTAGGTTGTTAAATAAACCAATAAACAATCCGAACTGCGTCTTCAGTGTCTAAACACTCTACAATATATATATAACATTCAGCCATTAAAGGTTAAAGAACATTTCTTACCTCAAAAGTAATCTCCAAAACTGTTAATACTCGTACATTTATCCCACTGGGAGATAAGACGGTCAATCCCATCCTTGAAAAAGCTTGTGGGCTGTCTACGGAACCACATCGTTAACCAGCCACACACGTCTTCATCCGATGCAAACCAATGTCCAATTAGTGTCTCTCTTCAGGTCTCCAAAATGTGAAAATCACATGGGGAGAGATCTGAGCTGTAGGGGGGATGTTGAAGCACTTCCCAACCAAATCTCTGTAGCGTATTCCTCACAGAGTTGGCAGCGTGGGGGTGTGCATTATCATGAAGAAGGATTATGCTGTTCAATAGCATTCCAGGGCGTTTTGACTTTATGGCACATCTCAGTTTCTGCAAAGAGTCTTCATAGCGTTGTGCTCTGATTGTGGCCCAATGCTCAAGAAATTTGACAAGCAGAGGGCCATTGCAGTCAAAGAACGTTATCATCACTTTACCAGAACTTGTGTATGCGGCTTTGGATTTCTTCGGTGGTGGAGAATTCACGTGTTTCCACTGTTGGCTCTGCTGTTCGCTCTCGGCTTCAAAATGGTGGCACCAAGTTTCGTTCCCAGTGGCAATACAGGACAGAAAAGCATACTCTTCCTCATGAAATCGTTGCAAGTAACCCAGTGATGTAGCCATTCTCTCAGTCTTCGATTCCTCCGTGAGTTGATGTGGAACCCACTTCGCGCAGATTTTGCGGTACAGCAGGTGTTTTGTCACAATGCCGTATATGGAACTGTGACTTATTCCCATCAGAAGACTAATTTCTTCCACAGTGATCCATCGGTTTGCCTGGATATGACCATCCAATGCAGCAGTAACATCAGGAGTGATGACATGATGAACCTGTCCGGGGTGAGCATCATATTGCAGTGACACATGTCCCTCTCAGAATCTCTTATGCCACGCCAGTACACACGAACTTGACATGCTGTGTTCACCGTAAACAACAGACATGCAACAATAAATTTCTCGTCCTACGCCTTCAGCAGTCAAAAAGCGCAGTACTCTTCGCTGTTCTTGTTTACCCTCCTCTGTTACTGACGTTGGACGACCACACGTAGCACTAACCTTACTTCCAGCACAATAAACAAATGACTAGTGTGCAAGGGCACATTGTCACTGTGCTTTCCCGAGTCCCCACCAGATGTTCGTACCATAAGCAAATTCCAGTGTTACCAACTTGCACGTCGTGTGAGTTATGCATGGTGACCCATTTTCATTTGCCTCTTTTAGATATATACACTAACTGCTGGACCACCAGAGAAGCCCAGGAATAGTTCTTGTTATAAATGTACCTACACTAGGATATCTTAATTTTATATATATTATAAATACTAAAAAGAATGGAAGTTTGACCTTTCAGCCATTCCTAACACTCATTTACTTGAAAAATTAGATGAATTTCTTTGAATTGATAGAAATCATATGACAGATCTCTGAGAAATATTTTATGTAATGTAGTTTTATTTTAGGATTTTACAACTAGTAGAGTTCTTTGAACTGAAGTCCTAGTCAGATTATATCCCATAAAATTTTGTCATTGGCGTGTCTTAGAGCTGTTGATTTGGTTATTGTTATGGTATTGTGCAATCAGCCACGAGAAAGTGGCAGAAACTTCAGCAACATTTTTATGACACTTCCTGTTTGATTACAATTTAAAATACACAGCATATTATTTCCAGTTCTGTATTAATTTGTTTTGTGTGCATTATTTATGTGCATTCACTGTGGTAACAAGCCAGTAACGTTTTTAATAACATGGCTAAGGAATACTGTCATTGATAGTTATTGTAGGTAATGTTCTAGCGTATCCTAGTTTACACAATTTACAATCACTACATGCTAATCTTCTCAGTCTGTCTGCAGTAGTTTTCACATATTTATAACAAGGGAGTTATACAAGTCTCACTGAATTACACACTCCCAATCCCACTGGACTATGGCACACCCAAAGTCTTGAATCACACTTTAGATCCTCATAGGCTAACCTCCTGTATTCTTCTGTAATCCTGGTCCCAATTCGCTCTGTTCACATGCTTCCACTGCTACTATTTCTCTCTTGTAACTCTAGCTGCTCTCAACTGAACTGTCACACATGCTCACATATATAGCCAAGAGGCAGACAGTGTATCACTGTAAACGCCTATCGCATGACTGCTACCCACTACAGTTGTGTGAAATCACTGCACATTCACGAACTGATGGATGGGCAGTAAACATGTCACGTGACGGCCACATACTGTTCTGTGTCACAGTGCACATTGCATGGCAACACTGCTGTGCACTGCTGCTTCATGCCCTCATTTTGGGAACTTTATGAATAAGCCTCATACACAAGACTATCTCTTTGTTAGCTAACTGCATTAGCAGTTTGTGTGACTGGGAGATAAACCATAATTATTAAGTTTAGAGACAAGCAGTGCATGTGGAATAATATTGAAAGCTTTACTACAAAATAAATAGAATCACTGTGATCTTGTGAACAAACTGAATGGGTAATAAAATTAAATAAAGCAACTGAATTGAAAGTGCCGAGGCCAAGAATACAGGGATCTATACATCCACTCTCTCCGTATGTCTTTATGGCCTAGTGCTTAATTAGTTAAGCTCAGGGACAACCTGCCTTTCTAAGTGACTGAATTGGTAACACGGTGTTGGGAAGATAGCATAGTTTGAAAAAGTGAGAAATACATAATAATAACAAATTATTAAGAATGGCTGTATGCCTATAATTACCAACAGAGGGACTTTCGCCTTTTTTTAGACAAGAACATAAAGGAGATAAATTAGATATACTTGGATTGTGAGTTCAGATTTTATATAGTATTTAAAATATAGCAGCATATTGAACTCTGTTGAAATTCGGTTTAAGAAATTTAAAAGTAACACATTGAAAACATGAGATTATTTTAATAAAATACAAATTTTAAATATCACAATACTTAGTAAATTTTCCCTCATAAACTTGTATATTATATAATGTTGGCCACTGCAGTGCACATTGACTTCAGAGGTCAAGCTAACTTTTTGCTGCTATAGTACAATTTCAGTTTGGGGGTGAAGCATTTTGATCTTTTATATGTGGTATTGACATGCAAGAAAGTGCCTCAGTTCCTCTTGATCATTGATTGCAGTGCACTTACCCAAATACAGGAGCAAGGATCATGTTGTTCGTGGGAGGGCCTGCCTCTCAAGGACCTGGCCAGGTGGTGAATGATGATCTCCGCGAGCCAATCAGGTCACATCATGACATCCATAAAGATAATGCAAAATACATGAAGAAAGCCATCAAGCATTATGACGCTCTGGCTATACGTGCAGCAGTGAATGGTCATGCAATAGACATATATTCTTGTGCTCTGGACCAGACTGGTCTCTTGGAAATGAAACAGTGTTGTAATTCGACAGGGTAAGTTATAAATTCCTTCTCCATCTTGTATTGTGGTACTGATATTTGTCGTTGATATACTGGCTTGTGTGATGTGCATTAGTGCAGCAAATATGGAGTTCTTTCTTATAGATGAAAGCATATACGTGGTACAATCCAAAAGTTCCTGAAATATATTAATAAAAACTATTACAGCTTACCATGATCTTATTCTGCACCATCACCTTCAAAGTAGTCCCCTTGGGAGTGCATACACTGATCCCAGCGTTTCTGCCACTTTTCAAATGCATCCTGGAAGTCTCTCTTTCTTAGGGTGTTTAGTACCGTCTGCGTTTCCGCTTGAATTTCCTCAACTGTATCAAATCTTCACCCCTTCAACTTGATTTCCATCTTGGGGAAGAGAAAAAGTCACATGGAGCTAAGTCTGGCGAGTACGGTGGGTGGGGAACAACTGCCATCTTGTTTTTAGCCAAAAATTCCTGCACAGTGTAAGTCGTATGTGGTCATGCGTTGTCATGGTGGAGTACCCAGTCGTTCATGCGCCGCTTCTCTGGACGTTTTCTCCTCATGTTCTCCCTCAGACGCCTTAGAACATCGCGATAGAACTCTTTATTGACTGTCTGACCAGGAGGGACGAACTCCTTATGAACAATCCCATCAATATCAAAAAACAGATCAACATGTAGTTAATGTTGCTCTTGACTTGTCGAGCTTTTTTTGGCCGAGGTGAAGAAGTGCTCTTCCATTGCGAAGATTGTTGCTTGCTTTCACGGTCGTAGCCATAAACCCAACTTTCGTCACCAGTGACAAACTTCGAAAGAAAGTTTGGATCTCTTAAAGCTGTTGCTGAAGTCCCCTGCAGACTTCCAAGCGATGCTGCTTCTGTTCATTTTGCAGCAGTCATGGCACAAACTTCACCGCAATCCTCCTCATGTTCAGTTCCTCTGACAAAATTCGTTGACATATACCATAACTTAGTCCCAAGGTGTTACAGAGGTCTTGGATGGTCAGTCTACGATCTTGCAGAATCAGATCCCTAACTTTCGCGACATTTTCTGGTGTGGTGCCAGTTGACGGCCGTCCTGAACGATCGTCATCATCAGTCAGTGTTCGGCCATTTTTAAAACGCTTATACCAGTTGTAAGTTTGTGTCTGGCCTGAACTGTTTTCACCAAAAGCTTGCTTCAACATTTGGTGCGTTTCTGCAGCGGTTTTCCCAAGTTTGAAACAAAACTTTATACAGACATGCTGCTCTCTCAGGTCAGCCATTGCAAATCCGCAAACTCATGGAAACACAACAATGGAAATACGTTCACCAACAATAAGCCCAACCACTCAACTCAGCGCCGCTTGCCACACTGCTTCAAGAAGGATGTGTGAGGAGACACCTAGCAGTATTTCGATATACTCATATCCATTCGCGCGCAAAATTCAAATTTCTGAAACTTTTGGATTGCCCCACCTACCAAGACACACTACTTCCATAGTTTACACACGTCATTGCTCAGAAAATTGTTTGGGATTGAAAATTGCGCTGTGTAAAATTTGAGAATACTTCTTTTGAGAGTATAATTTTACATGTTAGACTGGACAGAACAGTTGAATGTGATGTGGGAACATGTTTGGATGTTGATACCTTTCAGACTCCACCACACAATTCCTTGATCAGCATTGATATGAAAATGACCCATATACAACTTTAATTTATGTAATATTCACAAATATGATGTGACAGCACTTTATGGATGTTCATGGCCACGTGATTTCTTGAAGGACATCAGATAGATGTTCCCTTTAATAAAATTTTGACTGGTGCATCACTTTCTTGAGACAATGCAGTTAAATTTGAATGTGCAGTAGCAACATAGTATGGATATTCCACACCATGTGATAGTTTGTTGAACATTGAAAGAAAAGTGTTCTGTAATAGAATTTTGACTGACATATATTATTCTCAGAAATGCAGTTTTTGTTTAAATTTGCTTAGTGAGGGGTGGAGTCCAACTGGATCCTCTCAGCATGGCGGCCACTGATTGGCCTATTGTAGCCTGCCCTGGGTGATTATGATGATGGAGAATTTGGCACAGTGAAGATGGGCAGGGGAAACCGAAGTACTTGGAGAAAACCCACCGCAGCGCCACTTTGTCCACCACAAATCCCACCTGACCAGACCTGGGATCAAACCCAGGCCGCTACAGTGGGAAGCCAGCGACTAACCGCTTGAGCTATGGCGCAGCCCTTAGAAATACAGTTAAAATGGAATACAGTTTAGCAGCATGATATGGATATTCACATCCAGGTACTCAACACAGTTCCTTGAAGAAGACAGAGATGAAAACTCCCCCTCCTACAATTTCAGCTGATGCATAATTTTTGTGGGAAATGCTGTTGAAGTTTAATGTGATGTGGAAAAACAGTGTGAATATCCTGCAGACTCTACATCATTCAGTTCCTGGATGAACATTGAGATGAAATATTCCCCTGAATAAAATTTTGACCATTGTTATAATTTTTGTAATTAGCTTGAAGTTGAGTGTAGTGTGACAACATGCCTATGAAGCCTGTCATGCAATTCCTTAGTGAACATTGGAATGGAAATGTCCATCAATAAATGATTACTGACCCTTGAGTTTTGTGGAAAATGTAACTAAAGTTGAATGCAATGTGGCAGTAGGTTGTGGATGGTTGTGTCTATTGACTGCACCACACCATTTGTTTGACACGGAATTGAAAGTCTCCTTTAATAAAATTTTGATTGATGAAAGCTCCTCATACTGTGTTACATTATGCATTTAACTTATGTCACGCTTTTTGACAAAAATTGTGCATTAGTCAGTGTTGTATCAAGCGCAGAAATATAATATGTAATTCCCCTTTCCCCAAATTGTCGGAAAGTAGAAGTAGGTGATCTAATTATGCAGTATGTTACGGAACAAAATTTATGAAAGAATTGTCTCTTGTTTTTATTATATTCATAAATGATTACTTTTTATGAAAGTGCTTTTCATAATGCATGAGTAGTTTTTGATTCATGAGATGAATTCATATGATAGTTTTCTTTGTTACTAGGTGTGAATCTGTTTGTTCCAAAGTGTACATTCTTGTTGTAAGTTAGCCAGTCCTATTGCACAGCTTATAAATCTGTATACCAAAATATCTATGTTTCTGGGAGTGTGTCGCTTGAGAATAATCCTCCTCCTGCAAAATTTAGCAGAGGCATTATTCAGCTTTTAAACTGTATTATTTTGGATGTGGGGTGGGGGGTCTTGGTCTCCCAAGCACTCAGACAGCTGGAGGGTTCATAATATGATCTTCACAGGGCTTTCAAGGAGCTCTGTGTATGATGCTAGAGCCAGAACTCTTGTCATTCAAGCCCTCTTAATATCCATAGTCATTGACCATGCAGACATGAAGATCTCTGTTCTATTCCTAGCCAAAGCTAGGCATTGACAGACTTTGTGGCAGGAGTATTCTTTCTCCTGTCCATGTATATTTGCACATGACAGTTTGTAACAGACGAATCATATGTAGATGTTGTCTCAGTGTACAGTGGCCAGTCAGCAGTTCTGTTACCAGCCTATGATACCTCTTGTCCAAGGCCAGTAGGTTCCTGGACAGTTTATCCAGAAGCCATTTATGGTGACAGAACTCAGCAACTGAGCCCTCCAATGCAGGGCAAGAAGATGGGGACATACTTAGAGAAGTCTCTTGATAATGTCTCATCCAGTCCATACCGGAGCAGTGCAGTTGCTAAGGATCTTCAGGGACTGCTACAGCAGCCCCTTACAGCTACTGAAATAATCACACCCCCACAGAGCCCCACATGTGGGGAAGGTAAACTTTGTACCAAGGACACTCTTCACTACAGTCCTACTTCAATGTCCCACAGGCCTCAGTACAGTAGCCCACATCTTACAGAGATCACCACTGGGAGGTGGGCGGGGTGACTAATTCCCCATTCAGCGTATCAAGTAGAAGTATAATTCTCCATCTCTGATACTACTTGTCAAGCATTCCTGGTTGATTCATATTTATTGATTTCATTTGGAAATCTCTGGATATAAATAAATCGGTTGTAGTTCATCATTTTACTTTAAAATAGGGTACGAGTATGTTCTAGAGTTGACCTGTAATCTTTCATTTTGTTCCTGCTTTACATTAATTACTGTAGCTAACGAAGTGTCTCCCCTATATGGTTATGGTGGGAAGCCATGAGGATCATCACTGTCAAATTCAGTGGATCCCTTTTAAGAAGTTACCCAAGGGACCTAGAAATATATACCTAAGTGGGAAAACATCTTAAAATGTTAAGCTTTAAAATATTGTCAGAATTAATTGTATCCCATGTAGAAAACTAACAGAATAAATGTTATGTCTTTACACTGAATAAGTAACTAAAAATACACTAAATACACATACACATTGTCAGAAAAGATTGCCATGTCAGAGTCACAGTCAAGAATGAGATTCTGTCTGTAATCTTTTGTAGTCCTGAAATGGCGCACCATTATGACGAGAATATTCTGTTGAGAGTAATACTATATAGCATTCTTCTCTGCAGAAGATGATTAGGCAACCCAATGGTGGTCCACACTCTCTAACCCCTCAACAACAAACATGTGACAAAACATTATTTCTGCAATCTTCCTGCTATCAAAGTAATTGTAGAAGCCACTGGTGCCTCTTTGATTCTTCTGATGGTGCCATAACCCCCCCTCCTCACTCTTCCATTACTCGCTTTTCAACTAATGAGATGTGAGAAAACTTTTAATTCTTTCAGTCCCTTTCCTTCTAGTGTAATAGTAGCGAGTCAGTGTGTTCAAAACTTCTTATGGTGGTTCTCTCTCCCCCACAAATACCACACTTCTACAAACATGAGAGCAACTTCCATTGTTTTCATCTTCATTCTAACTTGTTAAAATGCAGCTGTGTGAGATCTGACAAGGACATGACCAAGTGAGAATGGTGTATTGACAGAATGATCACATGGACAACATATGACTGGAACATGATCCCTTCAGTGAAAAGCATAACAGCTCTGTAGTGCAATGGAAAAAATTACAGTGTTGTGGATGTTGTAAGCTGGCTGACTAAATATAGGGTATTCTAGGAGCACAGTGGTGCAGCATATGCAGTACGTGACCAACTGCACTGTGATGTGGACCAATATATGTTAAATTGTGCTGAAAGTAGTACTGTCAATCTTTGATCATGTACTTCAATGTAAACTATTGTATTGTCATTTCAGTGGCCACATGGTGATGGGTGATTCCTTCAACTCATCTCTATTTAAGCAAACATTTCAGAGAGTATTTGCTAGAGACCAGAAAGGTGATTTGAAAATGGCTTTTAATGGGACCTTGGAAGTGAAGACATCAAGAGAGTTGAAAGGTATGTTCTGAATAGAAAAGTGACATGTCGAAGTATTACAAATACAAATTTAACACTTGACTTTGGAAACTGTCACTTTCTGGATATATCAGTATACTGTACGTAGAGTTTAATTCAAGCATAAAAAGAAAGGGTAAAGCTATCTCTGTAACAGGCTGTTAAGGCCCGTAAGGTTGTGAGACATCGAAGATCCTACATTTCCAGACAGTCAGCTCACAGATGGCAATTTCTGTTAGAGGCTGAGTCAACCCCAGGGTCATAGTGCGGCTGGAAAGATTAGGGAGATTGAAAAAATTTGATAACCTTAACCTACCAGCTTGTAGCATAGTGCCTCAACCAACTATGCTACCTTGTGCCCTATTTAATTCAGGGGAAAGATTAATATGATCTGTAACGAATCGTAACATCATTCCATCATGTGACACACCTTTCTGTGATGTGTGAAGATATTGTGTGTACAGTGAACTCATAGAATGTGTTATTAAATACACAGAACAACTGAGATGATTAAAATATATATGCATATGAGATGTGTTCAAAAAGCTCCTCAAATTTGTCTATAAATAATATCTTTCTGTACTTAGAGCATGACCCCCATGCGCAGCAATGCACCGCTGCCACCACCTTTTCAACTTTTGGAAGCAGTTTTTGAAGGATGTTTATGGTATCACTTTCAAGTCATTTGTCACATTAGTAACGATGTCTTCCACTGTCTGAAATCTTCCTTTAATGGTAATTTTGAGTTTAAGGAATATAAAACTGTTGGGAGAGGAGAGGTCAGGTGAATGGGGGGGTAATGGGGGAGTAGCAATTGAATGTTTTGCCAAAAGTTGTCAGATTGAAAGTTCTGTGTGAGCAGGCACGTTATTGTGATGGAGAGGCCAGCTTCCCCTCGTACAGCATCTTGCAGACCTTTCTGAGTGGCTAGATAAAAATCTTGATTTACCTGCATGAGTGAATTCACAATGTACAATGCCCCAGTGATTGAAACGAAAGACAAACACCATTGCTTTCACTTGTGAGCATATCTGTCATGCTTTCTTGGGACAAGGTGAAGCAGAACTATTTCAGTGTGAAGATTGTTGTGTAGCCATTCCTTTTATACTACTAGCTCCGGCAGAGAAATCCGACTCCTCTCGGTTCATGTNGTTTCCGTTGGTAAGTTTGGGGGGGGGGGGTTCATAGGACGGTCAACACTCAAACAACAATTAGCAGTTTCAAGTCTTTATCTGAATTGCACTATTCAAGTAATAAATCCACCGTAGTGATCAACCTAATTGATTACTGGGTTTAGGCTCTTTTACTGGTTACTAAGACACACTAATTGGCCACACCATAGCTCAAGCCGTTAGTCGCTGGTTTCCCACTGTGGCGGCCTTGGTTCGATTCGGGTGCTGGTGCAGGTTTTCTCTGAGTACTTCGGTTTCCCCTGCCAGTCTTCATTTCACAAAATTCTCCATCTTAATCACCCGGGACAGGCTACAATAGGCCACTCAGTGGCCACAGTGCCGAGTGGACCCAGTTGGACTCCCACCTCCACTAAGTGAATAAAAAAAAAAAGACACTAGTTCGAGTGAAAAACAACATACAAGTGAACTAATGGGTGATCGGAGGTACATATATCCCTGATAAGTGTAAATTTTGGAGTCCTCCAGCCAAGCATTCTCTGAGGGGTAGACATCTGCCCTGGTTACCCAAAATTCAGGCAAAGGACATCCCACTGCAACCTGGGAGGCTGCTCAGTCTTTCTCCTCCAATTAGAAAAAGAAACACTAAAGCAGCCAGAGTTTAGGGGTGAACTCTGCCACCTATTGTGTGACTGTCAGATTGAAATTTGGGGTAGCATGAGTCCAGAATGACCCTGCTAAAAGTATGACTTCCGTTGTCACACTTTAGGATTTTTAACGAACCTGCTCTCGTGTTACACATTAACTTGACTGATTTACTGATGTGCAGCTGGCTTCAAGCTTGACCCAAGCCACTTGCTGCATGTCTCAGGAGGCAATATCCAACTGTGAGTCAAAAGTGATGAATTTCATGTAACCCTGACCATACAAAAAAAAAAACAAGTGACCATCCCCTAAATTGGACAGCTACAGTTGTTTGGTTTTGACATAACCATAAACCCATGTGTCACCACCAGTGATGACATTTTTTTTAAAGATCTTCGTCATCATTTACTCTTTAGAGGAGTTCATCAATCAAGAGCCTTGGCACAAATTTTTCTGAGACCTGATGCATTCCTAAATCTTCCATTAAAGTTGTGTGGCATGAACCGTTGGGTATTCTAACTTCTCCTGCAACCTGTTGGAACAGTCAGTCGATGATTTCCATGGATAACGTTTTTCACTTTGGTTATTGAAGTTTTGATTGGCCAGATTGCTCATAGTCATCCATTGAAATTTTACAATTTTTAAAAAGTTTGAACTACTTGTAGGACATTGTTTGACTCAAGGCATCATCACTGTAAGCTTCACGCAACGTGTTGTGGGTTTCCACAGCTGTTTTCCCTACTTTGAAACAGAATTTAACGCAAATTCCTTGCTCCTTTAGTGACTGCATTCTGAATGTGATAACAGCAATTCTCGATCACAGAACCAGTTGTGAAAACTAACTAGAATGTTTGATCTACTTGTAACAAAATGGCTTGTGTAACTAAGAAACAGGTTGTGAGGTCACTCAAGCAGCACCTAACATGACTGACATGCTGCTAGACTGACATGCCAGATTTGTCATAGTTTTGGGGGTGAATAGTGTGTAGTATTGGTGCTGATATTCAGCATTTGTGTATACTTCATGTTGTCCATTCTAAAAGATCCAATTTTTAATATGTGTCTGGTAATTGTACTTGTTAAACAAAATTTAAAGACCGGACAAAATAAACTCCGTGGCCTGTAGTCCACAAATGAACTATACTGACTGAGTGGCCGCCGCTTGTCGGCAAAGTTAGTGCCAACTTTTGTGGTTAGAGGGTGTCTCATGATCAGCTCAGTGGATCCGCATGGCTGTTAATCTCGATTTTCTAGACTGCCTCTGTGGTCTAGTGGACAGAGTTCCTGGCTACATATCCACAGGTCCTGGGTTCGATTCCCGGCCTACCAGATTTTCTGAGAAGTAGTGGGTCTGGAATGGGGTTCACTCAGCCTCCTGACAATAATTGAGCTGTTTCAAGAAAATAGCGACTCCGGTCTAGAAAATTGAAGATCATGTGACATAATTATGGAAAACTACCTGAAAGTAAATGGCAATTTCTCATTTCCTTTAATTGCACATGATGCCAGTTTTAATTCAATAGTTATCACATAAGTTGAAGAGGCTTATAATTATAAAGTAAAGAATTACCTTATTCGAGTATGTGATGATGAAGAAAGAGCACAAAAGATATATTCTGTGGTCCTGTAATGGGACACTTCAAACAGCAAGAAGAAAATGAAGTTTCTGAAAGAGAATTGTCTTGAGAAGTTTTTTTTTTAATTTGTTGCTGGGAAAGGGGGTTGTCATATAGTAGAGGTCAGCTTATTATTTGAAGAGAGCAGACTTCTGGGGTGTGGCGCCTTGTAGATATTGTGTTAACTGACATTTCGGAGGAACATATCGCATCCATCTTCAGGGTAGAAGAAAAATCTGCGAGCGAGGAACCAGCATGAGCAGGTGCTAATAGACTAATGTCGAGAATAAACCCTGTTGTATAAGAGCAGCAAGAGAAGGGAGAGGGGCTACATGGGAAATTAGTAGAGAGGAGAGGGGAAGGGTTTGTGGAGGTGGGCCAGCAGGTAGGAGGCCAGAGCAGGTATAGAATATTGTGTCAGGGGGAAAGGCAAGGTTAATGGAGGACATTAACCCTTAAGCTTCAGGGTTGTCATGCGAGTCAGGCATGGACTTGTGTGGCCTTGTGGATCTTGCGTCATGTCCCGGATGTTTCTTGAGGGAACAGACGAGAGGCTTCCAAGACTTGCTGAGACAAAACCCCACCTCTCTGTTCATATTGTCAGGATGGAATTCAATCTCAATGGCCTCCCTAATGATGCGATTCATATATCGGGTCTTGGTGGCGAGGATGGAGGTATTCCAAAGTTGAATGAAGTGTCCCAAATTGATGCTGTGTTCAGACACAGCTGACTTGCCGGATGTTCGAGACAGATGTGCTGCTGATGCTCCTTCAACCTCGTGTCCATGGAACAGCCTATCTGCACAATACAGACCTTGCTGTACTCGCATGGGATACTGTATACACCCGGTGTCCTTAGTCCCAGGCTATCTTTGACCGGCCAGAGGAAACTAAATAATTTCTTTAGAAGCAGGCCCACTGATTTGATGTTGTGCCTGGACAGCACTCTGCTGACTTGGTTGAATATAGTCCAAACATAGGGCAGGAAGGCGACTGAGTCCGGTTTATCATTGAGCTGACTGATGTTCGAACAACAGTTGAGAACTCTGTGGATTTGCCGGTTTTTGTAACCGTTTTGCCTGAAGACGTCCCCCAGGAGCACCAACTCTGCATGTAGGCTGTCTTGATCATGAAGAGCTCTAGCCCTGTACACCAATGTGGAAAGTACAGATTGCTTGTTGGATGGGTGGTGGTGGGATGCAGTGTTAAGGTAGAGGTTTGTATGGGTGGTTTTGCGGTACACTCTATGGCCCAGAGAACCGTTGGGTTGCCTACAAATATCCATATCCAGGAAGGGGAGGTGTCTCTCAGTTTCTCTCTCCATTGTGAACTGAATGCATTGGTGGATACTATTTAGGTGGTTCAGGAAGTCCTTAAGCTTGTCGGGCCCATGTGGTCAAATGATGAAGGTGTCGTCCCCATAGCGAAACCGGCAGTGGGGCTTGAGTGGGGCCAAGTCAAGTGCCCTCTCCTCAAAGTTCTCCATATATAAGTTTATGATGACCGGAGACAGTGGTGAGCCCATCACCACACCATCGGTTTGTTCATAGAACTGGCCATTGAAGCTAAAGTATGAGGTGGTCAGGACATGGCGGAAGAGTCTCAAGATATCTTCTTCGAAATGTCGTCCTAGCAGATCCATAGTATCCTTTATAGGCACCCTGGTGAAGAGTGACACTACATCGAAACTGACCGTCATGCTGTGAGGATTGACTTGGAAAGAACCCAAGGTGTGGACAGATTCCATTGAGTTACTCATGTGGTGAAGGCCACGCCGTAGCTCAAGCAGTTAGTCGCTGGCTTCCCACCGCGGCAGCCCGGGTTCGATCCAGCATCTGGTCAAGTGGGATTTGTGGTGGACAAAGTGGCGCTGGGGCAGGTTTTCTCCAAGTACTTCAGTTTCCCCTGCCAATTTTCATTCCACCAATTGCTCCACAATCACCCTCACCTATTATCTGGGGCTGGTACAATAGGCCAGATGTGGCCACAGTTCAAGGGACTTAATCCCACCCCACTAGCAATAAAATACTCAGGTGGTGTGGACAGCAGTCAGTGTTGTTGCTCAGTAGGCCAGCCAAGTGTTTGGCCAAGCGATAGGTAGGAGAGCCAGTAGTGCTCATAGTGGGCCTTAATGAAACAACAGGCTTATGGATCTTCAGCAACCCATAGAGTCTAGGTGGCCTGGAACCTTGTGGTCATAGCTGTTGGCAGACGTCAGCAATCGGGGACTTTTTTCAGGAGAAGAACAGTCTTGCGCTCTATGGAGTCGGTAGGACCCTTCTTCAACTTCTTGTAGGCCTTGTCCTCCAAGAGAGCGGTGATCTTACATTTCCCATATAGCCCCTCACCCTTCTCTTCCTGCTCTTATACAGCTGGATTTATTCTTGACATTAATCTATTAGTACCTGCTCACGCTGGTTCTTTGCTTGCTGATTTTCTTCTTTTTTCTTCTGCCCTGAAGATGGAGGCGATACGTTCCTCCAAAACGTCGGTTAACACAATATCTACATGGTGCCACATCCCAGAAGACTGCTTTCTTCATAGTCACCACCATGAAAACCACAAAACTTACATATCTCATTATTTGGTAAATATTTCTCATAAAATGTAAAGCCACATGCATAGATTGTTAACTACAGTGATTAAAATCATCAGACATTTAAGGTTCCAGTCTGTACTGGGAATATGTATATGTATCATTTGTTTTTGTACATTAGGCTTTCAGAACTTCTAAGGCTTTACAGAATTGATTATTGCTGCACATTGCCTCAGCCTTTTGCACGTACATGTGTCCGTGCTTGATGCTTGAAACTGTTTGACTATGAGGGATTCACTGAAGGTTACTGTACTTTGTCATGTGGACCCTCAGCATATAGACATTAACACTTTGATTGCCATGCCCCTCCATAGAATTACCCACTATAAACACAAAGTCTGCTTGGTCTAAATGGTATGGCACAGAAAATCCCCCAATACCTTCCTCAAAACACCTTCAAGCAGCAACAGAAGTATTCCATGTGAAAGCAAATTCTTTCATTTAAACATCAGTATGTGGGGAAGTCACAAAATTTTAATTAACATCCAGAAGAAACTGACACACAGGTACAAGAAATTGTATGTGACGTAGTCCTCCACATATGCCCCCTGCAAGGCCACACATTTTCCCCAAAGATGCATTAGCTGCTGGATACCTTGGTCATAGACGGTCTCATTTTGACTGTTTAGGAAGTACTCTACTGCAGAAATGACATTGTCATCGTCTTGGAATCACTTACCATGAAGCGACTTCTTTAGCCATGGAAAGAGGAAGAAGTCACTCAGTGCCAGGTCTGGTGAATATGGTGTATGGGGGAGAATTTCATATCCCAAACTGGCAGCAAGTGTTGTAGCATGAGCCGGTGTGTTGTCGTGAAGAAGTCGCACACCTTTTCCCAGCATTCCATGTCACTTTTCTTGATTTCCCCCTGTAGTTTTCTCAGAAGATTCCAGTAGTACTCACCAGTAATGGTGACACCCTTTTGCGCATAGTCGGCTGTGATGACACCCCACCAATCCCAGAACACACTCAACATCACCTCTCCTGATGACGGCTGGGATTTGGCCTTCTTTGGTGGCAGCAAGTCTGCATGTTTCCAGTGCTTGCTCATTTCCTTTGTTTCAGGGTCATAATGATAGACCCAACATTCATCCATCATTATCAGGTGGTCTCAAAATTCCACCTTTTTGTCTTGACACAACTGAAAAAGTTTCTTTGCCACATTCATCCGTTGCTGTTTTTGAACTGGTGTCAACAATTGTGGCACCCAACACGCAGCAACCTTTGTAATGTGTGACTCATCATGGATGATGTTGAAAACCTACCCATGGCTAATGCGGACCTCATAAACAATAGCTTCAATAGTTATGCGCCCATCAGATAGGATCAAAACTTTCACCTGTGCCACAATTCCCAGTTCCTCAGCGAAAGATGGTCTTCCACTTCAGGGTTCCTCTTCGAGGTTTGTGTGTCCACAATGAAAGTGCCTCTTCCACCTGACCACTGAAATCACAGTCAAAGCCTCCACTTTCTCAACTGACGTTACCATTTTGCTTCTGCCCCTTCTGGTGGTTTCCTCTGTCCACTTGGTGCAGGAAAGTTTGACTGTTCGGCAAGCTCAAGAAATGGGCTATCTCTTATATAGAACGATATTTTGGAATTACGATTTTCTCATGGTGATAATTAAAACATTTATGACTCCCCGTTATGTGTCATACATGATGCCATCTAGTGACAGATGTGCTATGCTAATTGATGAATGAACTGATCTCTTCACCTGTGGTAATTTCAACACAAGTATCTAAAGTCTGTCTTGTTTGTAGTGACAGGTATGCTATACTAATTGATTGATTAGCTAATCTCTTCACATGTGGTGGTTATAACACAAGTACCGTGAGTCATTCTGGAGTCTTTTGCACGTAGCATGCAAAGGGTTAAGTTTGTGATATTTTTATTTCTCAGTTTTCAGAGTTTGTAAGGGAAACATGTGACAATAATTTTCTTTCTGTAATTTCAGTGTCAGGAGCTATTGGTTCATGTGTTTCTCTTAATGTGAAAGGCCCATGTGTAGCAGACACAGAAATAGGCATGGGAAGTACATGCCAGTGGAAGTTTTGTACATTCAATCCAAATACAACATGTGCACTCTTCTTTGAAGTTGTGAACCAGGTATTTATAATTGTAAAACTTGTAAGTTATTGAATATTGTTGGAGAATAAGTAATTTATGTTTGTTAATAAAATTCCCTGATCTCTGTATAAGCTGTATCATAAAAGGAAGGGTGGATGTTCTTCAGGAACTCTCAGGAATTATCATGGTTATAAATTAGCATGATCACTTCAGTTTAGCATAGGTTAGCATGCAGTTTTCAAGCCCTTCTGCAGTCAGCTACATCAGAATGTCAGTTTGTAATGCATTAATTCTTAGTTCTGTGTAGTTTGTTTCCAGTTATAATTGAGAAAGTATATAGTTTGAATTAAATATTTCATTCTATATGTGGGGCAATCCAAAAGTTACCGAAATTTGAATTTTGCGCGCAAATGGTTGTGAGTACATCAAAATACCGCTAGGTGTCTCCCCACACGCCCTTCTTGAATCAGTGTGACAAGTGGTGTCAACTTGAGTGGTTGGGTTTATTGTTGGTGAACGTATTTCCATTGTTGTGTTTTCATGAGTTTGCGGGTTTCGATGGCCGACCTGAGAGAGCAGCGTGTCTGTATAAAGTTTTGTTTCAAACTTTGGAAAACTGCTGCAGAAACGCACCAAATGTTGAAGCAAGCTTTTGGTGAAAACAGTTTAGGCCAGACACAAACTTACAACTGGTATAAACATTTTAAAAATGGCCGAACATTGACTGATGATGACGATCGTTCAGGACGGCTGTCAACGGGCAAAACACCAGAAAATGTCGCGAAAGTTAGGGATCTGATTCTGCAAGGTCGTAGACTGACCATCCAAGACCTCTGTAACACCTTGGGACTAAGTTATGGTACATGTCAACGAATTTTGTCAGAGGAACTGAACATGAGGAGGATTGCGGCGAAGTTTGTGCCACAACTGCTGCAAAATGAACAGAAGCAGCATCGCTTGGAAGTCTGCAGGGAACTTCAGCAACAGCTTCAAGAGGATCCAAACTTTCTTTCAAAGGTTGTCACTGGTGACGAAAGTTGGGTTTATGGCTACGACCCTGAAAGCAAGAGCAATCATCATAATGGAAGAGCCCTTCTTCACCTTGGCCAAAAAAAGCTCGACAAGTTTTGAACAACATTAAGTCCATGTTGATCTGTTTTTTTTATATTGACGGGATTGTTCATAAGGAGTTCGTCCCTCCTGGTCAGACAGTCAATAAAGAGTTCTACTGTGATGTTCTAAGGCGTTTGAGGGAGAACATGAGAAGAAAACGTCCAGGGAAATGGTGCACGAACGACTGGGTACTCCACGATGAGAACTCACGACCGCATACTGCTTACATTGTGCAGGAATTTTTGGCTAAAAACAAGATGGCAGTTGTTCCCACCCACTGTACTCGCCAGACTTAGCTCCATGCGACTTCTTTCTCTTCCCCAAGATGAAAATCAAGTTGAAGGGGCGAAGATTTGATACAGTTGAGGAAATTCAAGCGGAAACGCAGACGGTACTAAACACCCTAACAAAGAAAGACTTCCAGGATGCATTTGAAAAGTGGCAGAAACGCTGGGATCAGCGTATGCACTCCCAATGGTACTAGTTTGAAGGTGATGGTGCAGAATAAGATCTAGGTAAGATGTAATAGTTTTTATTAATATATTTTGGGAACTTTTGGATTGCACCATGTATTTTGTTACTTATTTGGACCCATACTCTGTAGATCTACTTTCTTCCATTACCCCCTTTGCAGGTCAACCTGTATAAATGAAGACATTTCTTAGTTTCATCTAAACTTAATTGGATTTAATGTTCTTTCATACATCTGAAATGTGGGAAGAGTTTCGTGGTAAAATTCTTTGAGATTATGTTTTGCTGAAATAAATAGTTGGGATTACTGGGTTTTTGGACTTTTGACCATTGTTTAGTGTTGTGAAGAACACAACATTTCGGAAACTGGATCTGTTTCATCCTCATTTGAAGGGGTGGAAGACACCTGAGGGTGAAAACATTCAGTTTCCAAAACCCTGTGTTCTTTAGAATACTGGCCAGTGGAGAAAGTCCAAAAGCACAGTAATCCTGAGTGTTGTATACACCTTCATCAGAATCCCTTAGAATCTATCCTCTTGTATGTTCAGCATTCTGCACCAATTCCTCAAGGAGGCAGGGGTTGTATCCAGATGATCACACAGTATCAGCATTCCAGTGGACAGAGGCGCATACGAGTCACAACTGTAGCTAGAAAGTAAGTGCTCCTCATTCACATGTTAGAACAGCTATGCATGGATGTGCCAACACTTCTTCCGCAAGTTCAAGTAAATTTTCCATTCAGTCGTACAGTACACTCTTAGATTTGGGAATGCAACCTTCTTCTCCTATACAAGGGAGACATCCAGAGGGTGGGTTGCCAATACCTCTAAGGACTGCACACTGTAAATAATTAGGGAGGCAGAACTGCAAGCACAGTCAGTGTTGAAAGGCACAGATAAAAGCTGTGGCCAGTTAGGGAACACATGTAATGATGAAAGTGCTGGAAAAGAGCTAGAATTCCCCTTATATGCAATGTTAAGACATCAGTGGAGCAGATTATTTCTGTCACTATAATGAGGTTCTTTTTATAAGCCGTACTTCTGTGAACAGTTAAACACATGTATTTGCATATGGAGTTGTGTATACATATAAATGCTGGCTTTACATACAGGATTTTTAAAATACTTCACTTTCTTTGTTGCTGAGGTCATACAGCGTCAGGAGGCAAGATGATTCTGAATTATGTATAGGAAGAACATTGAAGGGAGGTTTTGACCAAATTGTAATTTACAGGAACTGTAATTTAACCTATAAACAATACATATTCTTAAGACATCCACATATGGAAGGAAGTGAAATTGCTAACCACAACTAAAGTGTGTAGTAATACTATAGAACAGCACCCAGAAGTTGAAACCCTTAAAGTCAGAACAGTGTTAATTTTATTTATACTTTGAGGGATATTTGTTGTTGCCTATTCAATTAAGTGAATGTAACATTGTGTGTTTTTAAGTTGGGCAGATGCTTCAGTGAACTTACATCAAATCGGTGCTGGATTTGACCAGGAAGCTGCGGCAGTTCTTATGGCCAGGATGGTTGTGTACAGAGCAGAGATAGACGATGGACCAGATGTATTACGATGGGTAGATCGCATGCTTATCAGGCTTGTAAGTAAAGTGTTTACAGAACTTGATACGGTGTAATATACTTTGATCACTGCAGTAATAGGTATAATGGAATTCACAGATTGATTTTATTATGCACAGTGTCAGAAGTTTGGTGAATATGCAAAGGATGATTCAAACAGCTTCCATCTGCCAGACAACTTCACTCTTTATCCACAATTTATGTATCACTTGCGGCGTTCACAGTTTCTCCAGGTTTTCAACAATAGCCCAGATGAAACATCCTTCTACAGGTGAGGATATTCACATTTTATTCAGCTAATAGTGATTGTACATAGTGTGTTTAATAGTATGTCTTTGATACAACTGATCGAAGACATCAAGATTTGGGTTGTCTGAAGTCTGTCATGAAAGAATTATTAATACAGTATGCCTCAGTACTGTTTTAGTCAGTTATTGATTCATGCTGTCAATATGGATAGTGTATGGCCTCAGTACTGACTAATAGAAATATAGTGTCCATTAAATCATACAAAATCGTTCATTAATAAGATACAAAAGTTTTTAAGGAATGGATTTTGTATGTGTGATTCTTTTGCGGACACTGTCTACATATACCATGCTGTCAAACTCTTGATATTTCAGCAAATTATGGACTTCATGAGAGTTTAATTCTCAAACCACTCAGTAGTATCATGAGAATGAGCTGGCACAAGAATACCCCAAAGATATGTAATGCCACTACACATGCAGTCTGAACTGCCATAAACTACCTTGCAAAGTGTTTTGTTGAGTGATTTTTCCAGAATGTTTGCCATGTAGGTTTCAAAAACTTTTCATTTTGAGATTTTTGTATGTGAGGTTTTTTGACATGCTGCGTATGAAAATCATTGATGACCACCGAGCAACTGAAAATTTATATCACAAATGCAATAAAAGTCATATCTCTTTATGTTATGGTCAAGGTATTGGCAGGCCAAGAGAGAAGGGAGAATGGTATAGATGTGTGGTTTGAATTGGATGGAAAAGACTACAGAATTTTGGAAGACAAATGTTTTGAAAGACTGAGCAGGATGGAGAGATAATATTAAGATGCATCTTTGAGAAATAGGTTGCATCAAAGTGAATGCGGATTGATCTAATACTTTTGAGTCATGTTAGAAGAACATTCATTGGTTGATTATTTTGTTCTTACATGTTAGTGAAATTATTAATGTAAATGTAAAATGTGTAAAAGGAAGTAATTGAATGTGAGTTGCATTGTTTGAAGGATTATTAATAGCTTTATGCTATTTTTCTTTTGTGTTTGTTACAGGCACATGTTAATGAGAGAGGATCTGACACAGTCTCTCATTATGATCCAACCAATACTGTACAGTTACAACTTCAATGGGCCACCTGAGCCTGTCCTTTTGGACACAAGCAGTATACAGGCTGATCGTATTCTTCTTTTGGATACATTCTTTCAGATACTCATCTTCCATGGAGAGGTAGCCTGTTTATGTCTCTAAAATGTTCCGTTAGCTAGTTGAACCAACAGTTGCCTAGTGTGTAATTTCTTCATGTTTGCCAAATTTCAGCAGTACCAGAAGTAGAGTATAATATAATATTTAAAACAACAGCATTATATAAAAAAGCCCTAAAGAATAAATCAAAATATTCCTCTGGTTGAAAGAAAGTAATGGTATCAATCAGTGTCATTAATCAACACTATCAGCTATATTTCTGGGTACTTGCCATAATCCCATGTTTCATGTAGGTGTATATGAATATTGTTTTCTTGGATGTGAAACCATGTAATCTGTTAGAAAGGTAGCACTGTTTCAGAGAAACATGCTGCCTGTATCTTTTAAGATAACCCTGAAGATGAGCATTTGTATCTCTACCAGACTCCACAGCATCACATCGCAAAAGAGAGTAATTTACACTCTTATCATTTGTGAACTACAGCAAACATCATCATCATCATTCACCCAAAGAGATTTCCAGTTGCTAATATTGGCCAACAATAACACTACTTTCATTTTCTGCTGATAATAGAAAACTTAGTAGTTTTGCGTTAATTTTAATTTTTGCAGACCATTGCTCAGTGGCGAGCGTTACACTATCAAGACCTCCCAGCTCATGAGAATTTCCGGCAGCTGCTGCAGGCACCAGTAGATGATGCTCAGGATATTCTGCAGACAAGATTCCCAATGCCTCGCTATATTGATACAGAGCAAGGAGGCTCACAGGTGAGCAGAATGCATTGTCATTCTCTTTGGTTTTTATGTTCTTTGAGCAAAGTGCATGAGACAGATGTATATTGGAGATGTTAGTGTTTATCCTGTATGTTTCATCTCTGTAACCACTGTACAGATTTTGATGGAATATGGTATTAGGGCACCAGACGTTATCTGTTGAATTTCGTGTTAGTCCATACATTTAATGTAACCCATACTTTACATGCAGCCCAAATCAGACCTCATTATTTTGCTCAAAAATTCTTCATTGCATGAAGAACTGGTGTATAACATAGAATATAGAACTTTTTATTATGTACAACTTTTGTGCTATTTGTATTTATTAGGATGAAAGCAAAAACAATTTTGACTCTAATATTGTGTTACCTATAGAATAATGCATAATTTTATTACAACAGCATTATATCCACCAGAAGTTTGAACTCTTGATAAATGAACATCAGGGCCAGTGAGATGTGTGGAAGAACAGAGAATACAAGTGGACTATGTACACTCAAAATTGGAATATATATTTTAACATTCTTGTTCAGTATATGATATAAATTCCATCCTAAGTGTAACAATTTATTGTAAGTCTTTCGTTTTGCCTTCTTCTATGCTACATGTTTCGGCCGCAAACGGCCATCATCAGGTGTATACACTCACATAGCTGTTACACTGCACCCAGTTTAAAATTTAAAAATAAGAACCCCCCCCCCCTCAGCTTANCCCTCCCACACTACTGTTTTCACTTGTATACTTGCCCTTCCCCCCTTCCTTCTCTGCTCTCACATAGCTGTGTATATTTCCAACACAGTCTGCTTTTACCGGTTCTCACGGTCTCTTCGCTTGCAGATTTCTTATATTTTTTCTTCTACCCTGAAGATGGAGGCGATACGTTCCTCCGAAACGTCGGTTAACACCACATGTACACGGTGCCAAATCCCAGAAGGCTGCTTTCTTCAGGATCTACTTTGCTGATATTTGTCTGATTCGTACATCATCTTTGTCACCCACACACGTCAATTTTGACATTCATGAACTGGCACTTTTAAAATCTTCAGTTCCGATTTAGAAAACTCCTTTAAAATTTTTCCAGTGCTTCTTTCTTTTGATGATAGTACACATCAGTGCAGTGATGTACATGTCCATGCAAATGAAATAATGTTTCCATTTCTTCTGTCCTCTGGTGGAACAGCAAGGTAAATTTGCTTTTTGCTTTTGCACATGTGTATGTTGAGGTGATGTAGATATAGATGTCAGCACAGGGTGAGTGGGGAAGAGGAGAAAGTGCAGTGCACACATCAACACACATTACAGAGAACATTAGCTCTTGTATTACCTCCACACTTTGATTATGCATAGTCCCTATAAGTGTTACTGCAGTATCTCTTTTTTTAAATGGCTGCCACACCACCAAGCCACTCCAAATCTCTGCCTGAGTGTAGCCTGTGAATTTTGAAGCATAGCTCACAAAATATGTGTATACATGATTTCTGCCCTTGTTGAGGCTGGAATGCCAATGTGAATAGGGTTGTAGTTTCTAGTTCACTGTATCTTGAGCCACAATGTTAAAATGAGAAGGACTGTAGGTTTCCTTTCGCCTTCTCTGCATAAAAGAGCCAGAACAAGTGATAAAATGGGCGAAGAGAAAGAATTAACTGTGACAGTGACAGTTTCGGATTGAACTGGTATCCGAGAGCAAATTGACAATGACTAGCCTAGCCACTAAACTGTACCTACTTACTTACTTACTTACTTACTTACTTACTTACTTACTTACGGAGCTGAGCCCTTCTGGAGGAGCAGCCAATTCTGCAGCTGCTCAAGAAATTCCCAGCATTTTGTGGAACCCGAAGATTCATTGCTGTGTTCACAAGAGTCCTCCACTGGTCCCTATCCTGAGCCAGATCAATCTAATCAATACCATCCAATCCTATCTCTCTAAGATCCATTTTAATATTGTCCACCCGCCTATGCCTTGGTCTTCCTAGTGGTCTCTTTCCTTCAGGCTTTCCTACCAATATCCTATACGCATTCCTCGTCTCCCCCATTCGTGCTACATGTCCCGCCCACCTCATCCTCCTTGACTTGATCATTCTAATTATACTTGGAGAAGAGTACAAGTTATGAAGCTCCTCATTATGCAGTTTTCTCCAACATCCTATCACTCCATCTCTCTTCGGTCCAAATATTCTCCTCAACACCCTGTTCTCAAACACCCTCAGTGTTATGTTCCTCAATTAATGACAGAGACCAAGTTTCACACCCATACAGAACCACAGGCTAGCCTCTGGACTGTAGATCTAAAAAATGACTTTTGTATGAAGTATTATTGGCTAAATATTCTAAGTAACTTGACTGTACCATGCAAAAGAATTGGAACGCTTGAAATGGAAAAGAAGGCAAGAGTGAAAGCTTCTGAAGAATGGACAGACAGTGAAATAGCCAGTTTTGGTGCAAATCAACAGCAGTATATTATGTCATTGCGGAAAAAAAATTGATCACAAGGAAACTGCAGAGCATGAAGCTGCAATAAAATTGCTTATAGAAGGAGAAAAAAATGGGCCTTGATAATTTGTGTTTAAAGACTTTATCTTGCTAAGAAGTGAATACTACAAACAAACTTTTGCAGAGCATGTGAGGTGACAAAAGAAAATGAAGTCATATGATGACCTGCCAAGACCTGGAAAATACACACTCATCCAGTTCAGAAATAGAAATGAAACAGGCAAGAGCTACTTTTGCTTGGTACCAAAGACATGATACAAACAATAATTTGCACCTAACACAGACTACAGATGAAATCAAATTTATGAATGCTTTACTTCTGTGGGTTTGCCAACAAGAGAAAGCAACACATGTAGAAACACACATGCATATACAGGGTGGGTAGGAGGGAAGAAAGAAAGGATTGGCTTGGTGGAATTCAGACCCAGGACACATGCAAGAGAGGAGAGGTGATAATGACCTCATGAGTCAGAGAAAAGGGACCGGCTAGCAGTAAAACTTCGGTAGCACCAGAGATCAGAGCAGTGAGCCATAGGAAATTGCTCAGAAGAGCTTACTTTGTTTAGAAATATATATGAATAAATTCCAACTTTTTGTTTAAAATATTTTACAGTCTTTAATAGCCAAATACCATTGTTTAAACTCCCATACAAATGAAATTTTTAGAAGTCCGTATTTTCCTGGAACTGGACCTGCCATAACAATCACCAACTCATTACTAAATAACTACCAACATTGCAGTCATGCCTGAGGTTAATTAGAAACATGTATGGTTACAAAACTTGCCTGAAGAGAGGATCGCAATACAAGTTTATCATAACATGTGTGAATTGAATCCTACTGTTAGTTGTGATACATTTGGTGTTAAATGTGCTTTGACTTTACAGGCCCGCTTCCTACTGTCAAAAGTCAATCCTTCACAGACTCATAACAACATGTATGCATATGGAGGGGTAAGTATTATGATTTAAGACTGCTATTTGGCAGTTTTTCTTTTGCCATTGTAACAGTGTTTATTTAAATTTGCACAGCATTCACTCTGAAATATTATTAGATCTGGTATGTGTTAGCTGTGTTTCAAAGAAGAGCTAGTTTTTAAGATCTGAGGTTTTGGAGGCAGTCAGAAATTTTATTTCAGTGTTCTGTGTTATGACACCATGTAGCCTTGTAGGTGATTACTGATGTCGACACACAATTGCATGGTATTTTAACCCATGAAACATTCTAAATTCCTTGTTTCTCTTGGTTCTGTATTTTTGGCGAAGGTCCCCACCCAAAAGGGATAAGTCATTTTTTATTTGAGATTACTTAAGTTAGTTTTGAAATATTTGTGCTGTTCAACTTGAGCAGGAAACATAATTTCTTCTTCACTTTTTTTTTTAATATACTTTCTCTCATTTAGAAATGTATTAAGAATGTCAGGCATGGTGTGAAATGGTTATCTTTTACTGTTCATGAAATGATTTGCCCACAGTAAGTTAGATAGTGTAGCGTTTTGTACATTTATGAAGTATGTACAGGAAAATATATTTTAAATGTTAGTGAAGCAAAATTCTCTAGTAGTTTTTCATTTGCATATGAAACATTTGATGGACTTGCCATTTTCAACATTTTGATGTAAATGCATGATGTATTGGAAACAGTTAAGCTGTGTGATCTTAATATATTTATGTGTTCTTAATTTTTGTTGATTTTTCAACAGTTTAATTCTTTCTTTTTATTCTCAACAGGCGATGCCGGTTCCCAGTGCGGTAGTGTTATTTTTTATTCTTTTTGGTGGTGGGAAGTAGTTTTGAAATACTGTATTTTTTGTTGTGTGTTTAGATTATTGTTATCCAACTTGAACACAAAAAGGGCCCCATATTTCCCACTTTCTGTTGTGCAGTCTTTAATGTAGCATTAACACTTTTATGAAACTGCAGGAGAGAACTAAGTACTTGCCATCATAAGGGCCAGTAGACTCACAAAGTTGTCAGTGTGTGCCAGACTGTCTCCATTCTGAATATTATTAAATTGACATTGCATTAATTAACTGCAGTCTTGCTATTACTTGTAACACAGATGTTTGACTGAATTAATAATTCTGTAGATGAGCTTTAATCGGTTGTTTTTTAATCATTTTAGATATAATTTTAACCTCTAAACAAGACCTATCTCTAATAAGGTGGAGCATGTCCATGACTTCAAACTTGTTGCCAAAGCTCTTTGGAAATGAGTACTCCATAAAGAGTGATATGTCCTGCCTCACGAAGGCTGTGACTCATTTTTATCAAAAATGAAGCTGAAGTCGAATGTATTATGAAAGCAGTATGTGGAACTCAGTTTTTCCACAAAAATTATGCATTGGTGGAAAATTTGTCAGGACTTTTCTTCTTAACATTAAACAGCAAAATCATAGGTACAACCATCCATACTATGTTGCCACATCACGTACAGCTGTAATTACATAACATGTAAAATTATAATCTGAAAAGTAATATTTGTATATTTTATGCATCAGAACTTTAAGACAGAATGTTTTAGAAAAAAGTGCAAATTATATGGTAATTTCCCTCACTACTATCAGAGTTAAAAGTTTTATATGAAGGAGGTTCAAGTACTTTACAGTTAAATGTTAACTGATGTACTTTGCCCTTTTAGATTGTAATGTGCAGTCTCTCCTGTTTTTATGGTGGCCAAAAGTCTGGTTGGATGGCAATTGTTTAAATGCATAACTAATATAAATATCTTGTGATAGTGGAGACATCAGATAAATCTAGTTCAGGGCTTTGCTTTCTGTTATAACGTTTACAGTAATATGCACTGCTGGCTTCTGGGATTAGCATTTAATTTTCTCAGTGGGAAAGTAAAATTAATGCAGAACTTTTCCTATACATCCTGCTTCCCATATCTCTCTTGCATTTCCACAGACTTATTTTAGATATGCTTCACTTACCATCAGTTCCTAAAATTGTGATCATCATGTCTTTTCCCTTTCACCCCTTATCATTTGTACAGGTTTTCCATATTGTACATTTTATCCTATGCTCTGCAGTAGGCATTTTGTTATTAGTACATCTCCCAATTCTGAAGACAGGTCCTGGCACTGGACCTCATTCTGCTCATGCTGTTTTATCTTCAGACCTGCTTCTTTGCATTCTCACCTTTTACTAATGCTTATAAATGAAGAATCAACCAGTGCATTTTGAAATATTCAGTAGACTTTCTAATGTTTATTTTCACCAGTCTTTATTTAGAAAGGGGCACACAGTAGCATAGTTGGTTGAGGCATTATGCTACAAGCTGGAAGGTTGCAGAATCAAATTCTGATGAGGTGGATGTTTTCAGTTGACCTAATCTTTCCAGCCACACTCAAGCCCTGGGGATGACTCAGCCTTGTAACAGAAATGAGTACCAAGAAATCTTGGGGTTAAAGGGCGGCCGGCACTAAGGCTGACAAACTCTGCCATCTGTGAGCTGATTGTCTAGAAAATGTAGGAGCCTCAACATCTCTCAACACTATGGGCCCCCACAGCCTGTTACCTTATTTAGAAAATTCATGGTGTGAATGAAATATTTTCTCTAGTCTGTGTCTTTGGTTATTTAATCTGGTAAATTCTCTTCCTTTTCACACCCTTCTTGCTTTTGTCATCTTTTTAAGTATCAGATAAAAATTTGCTTGGGGGGGGCGTGGAGTCCAACTGGGTTCACTTGGCACGGCGGCCACTAATTGGCCTATTGTAGCCTGCCCCAGGTGATTATGATAATGGAAAATTTTGTGGAATGAAGATTGGCAGGGGAAACCAAAGTACTCGGAGAAAACCTGCCCCAGTGCCAGTTTGTCCACCACAAATCTGACTTGACCAGACTCGGGATCAAACCTGGGCTGCCATGGTAGGAAGCCAGCAACTAACCGCTTGAGCTGTGGTGCAACCTCTGCCAGGAAAGTAAGCAGCAAAAGGTTAAGACTCAGCAGAGGAACTCAGAAAATTGACTTTCCTGCTGCTTATATTATGGCCATTATTCTCGTGATGGACGTTCATCTTGGCTATTGTTTCCTCATGGCCAGCTTTCAGTATGGCCTTCATTTCAACCCGCAGGCACTCCACCATTTGTTCCATTTCCATGGTATAATGCTGTAGCTACACAATGCAGTCTTCAATCCAATACCACTTCTAACACCAGATTTTCAGGTGAAAGGATGGCTATTAGACAGGGTTTGGATTGGATGATTGGATTTATTAATCACTTGTAACTACAGGTAATCTTAGGTAGATTCTAAATGTTTCTGACGATTGTGTGTAACACTCAGAATTAGTGGGGTTTTGGAGATTTTCAATTGTCTGGTATTCTAGAAAATAGAAAACATGATGTTTCAGATACTGGATCTGTTTCCGTCCTCAAGTGAGCTTGGGGAAGACACCTACTCATTTGGACCCAGTTGAGTAGGTGTCTTCCCCCCCATCACTGGAGGCTGGAAATATATCCAGTTTCCGAAACATTGTGTTTTCTATTTTCTAGAATACCAGACGGTAGAAAAAGTCCAGAAAACCCAGTAATTCTGAGATAATTTCCGCACTACTGCTAATCTCTGCACTTTACAGTTCTCTACTAGCCATTTCCTGGCAACAGATTTTAACACAAGAACTATAACAGTCTCACTGAATTACACAACCCAAATATCACTGTACGACAGCACACATAACTTCTCTTCGTGTCTGGACTTTCAGCTCTAATCTGAACTTGTTGCCATCTCTTCTCAGGCATCTTTGATTGCTGTCTCAAGAGACTCCCTCAATTCTATTTCAATCTAACTCAGAGTCAGAGTCACTACAACTGGCAGTTTACCGCCATTCAGTTTGTCTTGGCGTCAAGCCCCTTGAGACCCATGACCAGAGATTCTTTTACTGAATCCTTGCAGTCACAGTCCTCGTATAACATCCTCTCTGACAAGAAAATGGGTTTGTCTCTTATGAATACACTTGATATTTCATGAAGCATATGTATTGCACTTATAGCGTGTTATTGAAAATGTTTCCTTTTGCACTATAAGCAACTCCTGTTGTCAGTACAGGCTTTGCAGAGCAGATCATGCCTATCTTATGTATCATAAGATACAATGGCAGCGTAGTCACTCAAAGGGTCAGAAGCTTTGACCACCGTCAAGTTTAAGCCTCTTATATTTTCTAGGTCTGGTTTCACCTTGCCCTATACTACCAGCATGTTCATTCTCATGATTTTGTATGACTTCTGCCTGTCGCCTGCACAGTTTTGTTATATAATCTTTTATATTGTCACATGTTGGGTGTATGTCACGCGACAAGTAACTTCATGCCTTATTTGATATAGCGAATTTATCCCACTCGCTCTTACATTTACACAGTTTACAATTTTACAGTTACTGCCGTCTGCAGTATCACATTTACTTCTCCTGCTGCCATTCACTCCGGCGAATGCTAGACTGCAACTGGCTCAATCCTCACTCACTAATCACTTACTGCTAGTAACTCTCTCATAACTCAATACTGACTGAATAGTGTTCGCTGCTCCTTATTTAGCCTCGGCACGGACAACACAGAAAACAGTTACGTGATAGGTACTGCTGTTGCCTAGCAACACTGTCGAGAGTTGTTTACTGCTGTGTAACAACTGCGGTATCCCTCGTTACATCACCGGGGGGGGGGGCGGAGTGCTGACTGGCCTGTTACCGTAGTAGCGACAGCACCCAATGTTGTTACGTCACTGCTGGCGGGGGAGGAGATGTCCTCCATAGCGCAATACGTCACAATATATATGTGGAAGGTTGAAAGCTATGTGCAAATCATGGACCAGTGTGCACCTTGGAAAATTTCCAGTGGTGTGGAGCATTGTTTCTCCACTGCCAGGCCGCCTTCTGGCACTGGGTCCTGCCATCAATTATAGAAAAAATAATTTACCGGGCCATGGTCTGGCAAAGGTTGAGAAGAACAACTGGTGTTGAAAACCTTGTTTTGTAGGCGCTGCAATTTTAAGAGGTAGATGTGTGCCACTAATTCCCAGGTGGCACAAGCATAAGTCATTATTGATTTCATCAGTGCCTTATGGAGGGTTCATTTAATGCTGGTGCTCAATGTTCATTTTTGAATTGGGAGTAGATTCTAATAAATGTTCTGAAGGCATTGGCTTCAGTCATTTCTGTGTGCCATCTCCATGTAATCCTATATTATATTTAAGCATCCTGTTACATTCCACACTTATATATGTATAATATAAACTCCGTTGTAAATGCAACACTTTATTGTAGTTCTTGTCCCCCTTATTTCAGACTACATGTTTCGGCCGCAACCGGCCATCATCAGGTGTATTTCACTTCACGTAGCTGTCACACCGCACGCAATATTAACATTTAAACTCCAGATTTCCAATTGTTCATTGCTCTGTTATCAGTCATCACCCGATATTCCAGAACTCCCCTTGTCGCTTTTGTCAAGTATGTTTACAGTCTTTATTAATATTTACTCGTCGATTGGTTTAAAATTTTAATTTCTCCATTTAGCTTTAATATTTAAAATTTTTAAGTTTAAATTTAGAATAAAAAATCACAGAGATACCTGCTTTATGCTTATATGTGCTGCAGCGGCTACACTAGCAAACATATTGAAGAAAAGCAGTGGCACACACACGAGAACCTGCACAAAATAACGCACGAGTTGTGCTGAAAGTAAGAGGTAGCCGCTGCAGCACATATAAACATAAAGCAGGTATCTCCGTGATTTTTTATTTTAAATTTAAA